GTTACTTATCATCACTCATTCTTTATCTTAGTGTCACGACCGAAACGTGTTATGTAGCATTACAGTCGGGCTCTCTGGTAGTAAGTCATATCTTCCCCACATTTCGTTCCCCCCTCTTTCTCTAACGATGTTATCCTTTCCTTCGTCCTCTTTCTCACTCTTACTTTGTCTCATGATGCAGCTCTCTTTTCTCCTTCTCTCTTTCCGTCTTTCATTCTACTCCCTCTTTCGCGACTCGTCCCCCATGCTTAACGTGTGGGCTCCCCGCCTGCTTGCCCCTTCCTTCTTTCTCTAACTTTCCATTCCTCCCCCTTTTTCTTTCCCTCCTTTCTCGCCTTTCTTCCTTTTCTACCTCTTTCTTCCTTCTTTCTTTCCTCCTCTTCTCCTCCTTTTCTCCTTTTTCCTTCCTTCCTTCCTTCTTTCTTTCCCTCCCTCTTTCCCTCCAGACAGGGGTGATTTGAATGCAATATTCCTGCTTCTTGGCAGAATGGGGTTGGACTGGATGGCCCAGGAGGTCTCTTCCAACTCTTTGATTCTAGGATTCTATGATTCTTCCTTGACAGATTAGAAGGGGGCGTGGCTTGGAGGTAACGTGAGGAGGGTAGAGGGAGGGGGGGAGGGGGGAGGGGCTTGGGGTAAGGGAGGAGGGGAGGGGGGATGGGTTTAGAAGGGGGCGTGGCTTGGAGGTAACGTGAGGAGGGTAAGAGGGAGGAGGGGAGGGGGGATGGGGGCGCGCGTGCGTGTGTGTGCCGCGCCGGGGGGTGTGAGGGGGCACGCGCGCGCGCGTGTGTGCGTGCGTGTGTGTGCCGCGCCGGAGGAGAGAGAGGGGGCGCGTGCGCACGCGCGTGTGCGTGCCGCGCCGGGGGGGTTGGGGGCGCGCACGCGTGTGTGTGCCGCGCCGGGGGGGAGAGGGGGCACGCGCGTGTGTGTGTGTGCCGCGCTGGGGGGGTGAGGGGCCGTGCGCACGCGCGCGCGTGTGTGTGCCGCGCCGGGGGGGGAGGGTGAGGGGCCATGTGTGTGCGCGCGCCAGGGAGTTTGCGCCAGTGCGCATGCTCAGTTGTTTTGCCGTTTTTTGTGGTTGTTGTTGTGTGGTTTTGATTTCTGAGTGGATTAGTTTGTACCTAGTGGGTTGTCCTTGGGGCATGGCAATTTTGGTAGAGTTGTGTGGAGGGGTTTTAGAGTTTTGTTTCCTCGTTGGACGCCAGTAGGAAATTTATATATATAGATGTATTTTTAACTTATTGTTCGTATGTATATCTATATAAATAAAAATGTAATGTTTGTTTGTGGGATTAACATAACTCAAAAACCACTGGATGAATTGACACCACATTTGGACACAATACACCTATCAGGCCAATGAGTGACCATCACTCATAAAAACACTGAAAAACACAGCAAAAGAGACTTTAAAAGCCAAGAAACAAAAATTACATTGCAATGCATGCACAAAACCACACATATACACAAATACACAGACTGGGCCACAGCAACACACACACATATACACACACAAAGTACATATACACAGACTGGGCCACAGCAACACATGGCAGGAGACAGCTAGTCTATATAAATAAAAATGTAATGTTTGTTTGTGGGCTTAACATAACTCAAAAATCACGTGAAATTGACACCAAAATTTGGACACAATACACCTATCAGGCTAAATGAGTGAGCATCACTCATAAAAACACTGAATAACACAGTGGAAGAGACTTTAAGAAGCCAAAAAAAAAATACATTACAACGCATGTACAAAACCACATATGTATACACAAACACATGTATATACACACATACACATACAAAGCTCATATACACAGACTGGGCCACAGCAACACATGGCAGGGGATGGCTAGTCTGTATAAATAAAAATATAATGTTCATTTGTGGGATTAACAGAACTCAAAAACCACTGGACATATTGCCACCAAATTTGGACACAAGACACCTATCAGGCCAACAAGTTTTTCAGTCATAAAAATACTGAAAAACTCAGTGGAAGAAACTTAAAAAGTCAAAAAATAAAATATACATTATAACACATGCACAAAATCACACACACACATATATGCAAACACACATATATACACATATATACACACATATACACACAAAGCATATATACACAGACTGGGCCACAGCAGCACATGGAAGGGGATGGCTAGTCTATATAAATAAAAATGTATTGTTCGTTTGTGGGATTAACATAACTCAAAAACCACTGGACGAATTGACACCAGATTTAGACACTATATATTAGGGCTGGGCGGTTTCGTTTCGTTAATTTGTAATTCGTTAATAATTCGTTAATTTTTTCAATTACAAAACGATAACGAACCATTCTGGAGCAATTTTTTTAAAAAACGAATTTTTAAATAGTTTTGTAAATGCTTCGTATTTCGTTATTGTATTCGTTTCGTTATTGTTTTGAGGTCGTTTCGTTATTATTTCCGCATGTCTGGGGCAAGTTTTATGGTTGTTTTTTGTTTAATTAGTGAAAAAAAATTATAATATCACACCAACAGTCAACAACAGAGGGAGAGGGAAGCTTCAGAAGTTTTTGGAGGTTTTTTAGCGTATTTCGCGGTCGCGTCCGCCATTAACGAATCGATTCGTTATTGTTTCGGAAATCGATTCGTTAATGTTTTGTAATTTTTTTTCATTTACGAAATTTCGTAAATATCGAACTTTTTAAAAGGAAAATTTTGTAATTATTTTAAATAACGAAACGCAAAAACCCCCCAAAAAACGAATCGATTTTAGAAACAAATTTTTCCGTTGTTACCCAGGCCTACTATATATATATATATATATATATATATATATATATATATATATATATGGCCAACAAGTGACCATCACTCATAAAAACACTGAATAACACAGCGGAAGAGACTTTACAAATCCAAAAAATAAAAGATACATTACAACGCATGCACAAAACCACACACAAACACACACACACATATATATGGAAGTACACACATATATATACACACACAAACACATATACACAGACACCAACAGCAACTCAGGGCAGGGGACAGTTAGTTAATGATAAATTTGGACTGCTGTTGTTGTTGTTTTTGTTGTTGTTGTATGCCTTCATATATATAAAATCCAAAAAAGAGCCATTTTATATAAGGGACTCCTTTTATTACACAAGTGAATGTATTATAATGGGACTTGAGCATTGGCGGGTTTGGCTATCCACAGAACCAAACCTCAGCAGATACCAAGAAATGAATGCCATAAAAAGAAGAATATAGGTTCTTGTGGGTTTTTTCGGGCTATAGAGCCATGTTCTAGAGGCATTTCTCCTGACGTTTCGCCTGCATCTATGGCAAGCATCCTAAGAGGTTGAGAAGGTCTGTTGGAAGTAGGAAAAATGGGTTTATATATCTGTGGAATGGCTGGGGTGGGGCAAGGAGCTCTTCCCTGCTGCAGTTAGGTGTGAATGTTTAGCTGATCACCTTCATTAGCATTTGAAGGCCTGCCTGAGTGGGAAAATCTGCTGCTGGGAGGTGTTAATCTGTGCCTGGTTTTTTCCTCTCTGTTGTTTAGCTGTTATAATTTTAGAGTTTTTTAATACTGGTAGCCAGATTTTGTTCATTTTCATGGTCTCTTCCTTTCTGTTGAAATTGTCCACATGCTTGTGGATTTCAATGGCTTCTCTGTGTAGTCTGACATGGTGGTTGTGAGATTGGTCCAGCATTCTGTGTTCTCAATAATATGCTGTGTCCAGGTTGGTTCATCAGGTGCTCTGCTATGGCTGACTTCTCTGGTTGAAGTAGTCTGCAGTGCCTTTCATGTTCCTTGATTCGTGTCGGGCAATGCTGCGTTTGGTGGTCCCTATGTAGACTTGTCCACAGCTGCATGGTATACGGTAGACTCCTGCAGAGGTGAGAGGATCCCTCTTGTCCTTTGCTGAATGTAGCATTTGTTGGATTTTCTTGGTGGGTTTGTAGATTGTTTGTATGTTGTGTTTCCTCATCAGCTTCCCTATGCGATCAGTGGTTCCCTTGATGTATGGCAGGAACACTTTTCCTCTGGGTGGATCTTCATCTTTACTCTCGTGGCTTGTTCGTGGTCTTGCAGCTCTTCTGATGTCAGAGGTGGAGTCTCCATTGGCCTGGAGAGCCCAGTTGAGGTGGTTCAGTTCATCTTGGAGGAGGTGGGCTTCGCAGATTCTTTTTGCACGGTCGGCCAAGGCTTTAATGGTGCTTCTTTTTTGACTTGGGTGATGGTTGGAGTTTTGATGTAGAAGAGACCATGAAAATGAACAAAATCTGGCTACCAGTATTAAAAAACTCTAAAATTATAACAGCTAAACTACAGAGAGAAAAAACCAGGCACAGATTAACACCTCCCAGCAACAGATTTTCCCAGACTCAGGCAGGCCTTCAAATGCTAATGAAGGTGATCAGCTAAACATTCACACCTAACTGCAGCAGGGAAGAGCTCCTTGCCCCACCCCAGCCATTCCACAGATATATAAACCCATTTTTCCTACTTCCAACAGACCTTCTCAACCTCTGAGGATGCTTGCCATAGATGCAGGCGAAACGTCAGGAGAAATGCCTCTAGAACATGGCTCTATAGCCCGAAAAAACCCACAAGAACCTAGTGATTCCAGCCATGAAAACCTTCGACAATACAAAAGAAGAATATCTTCCGTCAAAGAGAGGCAGCATAGCTTTAAAAATCAATTGAAATTAATTCAAACGATCCTGCGTCGAAGAGAGGCAGGGCAACTTTGTAATGGTAATAGCTTTGTAACGTTAACAGAGGCACATCCGAACCGCTACATCACACAACGAAAATACGCATCACACATTGACACCCAATGCAATAAATATACAATATGCAATGCCCGAAGAAAAGGTACAAACGTAAGGAACGTTAACAGGCATCAATGGGATATCAGCTGGAGAAGCCCGACAAGAGAAAAGGATTGTCACACTCCAAGAAGAGTCATTCTTCCGTAGTTATTAGTCACCAAGAATAGTCGTTCTTCCCACCATTATTAGTCTTTGATTTTCAGCCCAAATTGCACCTCCGGATGCTCCGGCTTCAAGGAAAAATGGTCCAGTTTTGTTCTATTGGCAATAAAAGGTCAAGACGTTTTCCTGGTTGCCTCGGACCAAGACGACCGGAGGTCTCAGGTCCTGTGAAAGGGTCTCCAACCAAGCCATGTAGAGGCTGCTGGGGCATCTCCCCTTTCTGCCAATGGGAAGCGTGCTGAAGGAGAAAGGGCAGGTTATTATTAGGCCTGTGCGGTTTCATTCGTTAATTTTGTAATTCGTTAAACATTCGTTATTTTTTGCATTTACGAAACGATAACAAAACACTTTTTTAAACCCGGAAGGGTTTAAAAATAACGAAGCGGCATCCCCCATCCTTTTAACGAGTTTCCGCCCGTTTCGGAAATTGGATGGAGGATGCTGCTGGACGGTGCCTGGGAGCCAATCCGGCGCTCCGGCGCCCCTTTCTCTTTGCCCGGCCCCTCCCCCGCGAGCGCGCTTTGCCTCCTTGCTTGCTTGCTTGGCTTCGGCTTGGCTTTCCCTTCCCGGCAGAAGGATGGCGAGCAGCGCAGCGACTGCTGGAGCCGCGGCTGCGGCGGCCGAGAAGGAGGCGAGCCAGCAGAGCAGCCTGGGTCGCCTACTCGCCCGTGGATTACATGAGCATCACCAGCTTTCCCCGGCTGCCCGAGGAGGAGGAGGCGGCGGCGGCAGGAGGAGGAGGAGGAGGGGGCTCGGAGAGCTGCCTCCGCTCCCGCAAGGAGGAGGATGCCTTCCTCGGGGAGCAGGAGACCGGTGAGAGCGGGAAGGAGGGAAACACCCGCTTGCCTGCCTGCCTGCCTGCCTCCATCCTCCCTCCATCCACGCATCCACGCATCCATCCTCCTCCGAGCATCTTCTCCCTTGGATCATGCCCCCTTCTTCCATGGTGCAGGCTCCCCTGCAGCCAAGGCCACCCTCCTCCTTGCCTCCCTCCCTCCTTCTCCCCTTTCCCTCCTCCCTCCCATGTCAAGCATCCTCTGATCTTCACCAAGGACTCCCAAACTCCTCCTCCTCCTCCTCTTCCTCCTCCTCCTCTAAGGGCTTTGGAGTTCAACTCCCAGTGGGGACCCCCAAAGGTCATCCAGTCCATCCCCCTTGTTTAGAAGCAAGTTGAGGGAGCCCCCTTAACGAATCGACCCCGCGGCAATAACGTAAGCTTCGGAAATGTTTTGCGCATGCGCGCGGGGGTCCGCCATCTTAACGAATCGATTCGTTAATATTTACGAAATTTTCGTAAATATTAACGGATTGTAGGGGGGAAATTTTGTAATTATTTTAAATATCGAAACAAAAAAACACCCCAATTACAAATCGATTTTAGAACCAAATTTTTTCTTGATCAACCAGCCCTAGTTATTATATCTTGGCACAGCTCTCTCCATCCTATTACTTTGAATTCTTCTAATTTCATCCCTTGCATATAATAATAATAATAATAATTATTATTATTATTATTATTATTATTATTATTATTATTATTATTTTACGGAGTCTTTGTCCACAACCTTGCTTGTTCATTTGGTGGTTCGAATCTGCCATTACTTTTACATGTAAAGGCATCATTTCCCCTTTTGCCAATCCTAATGTATAGATGACCATCTATATACATAAAAATGTAATCTTAGTTCGTGCTACCATCAGAACTCAAAAACCACTGGGGGAATTGACACCAAATTTGGACACAAGACACTTAACAGTTCAATGTATGTCCTCCACTCAAAAAAACTGATTTTGTCATTTGGGAATTGTTGTTGCTGGGATTTATAGTTTGCCTACAATCAAAGAGCATTCTGAACTCCACCAATGATGGAATTGGGCCAAACTTAGCACACAGGGCTCCCATGACCAACAGAAAAAACTGGAAGGGTTTGGTGGGCATTGACCTTGAGTTTGGGAATTATAGTTCACCCACATCCAGAGAGCACTGTGGACTCAAACAATGATGGATCTGGACCAAACTTGGCATGAATATTCCATATGCCCAAATATGGAGTTTGAGGAGAATAGACCTTGACATTTGGGAGTTGTGGTTGCTGGGATTTATAGTTCACCTACAATCAAAGAACATTCTGAACTCCACCAATGATGGAATTCAACCAAACATGGCATACAGGACTTCCATGACCAACAGAACACACTGGAAGGGTTTGGTGGGCATTGACCTTGAGTTTGGGAGTTGTAGTTCACCTACATCCAGAGAGCACTGTGGACTCAAACAATGATGGATCTGGACCAAACTTGACACAAAAAATCTATATGCCTAAATATGAACACTGATGGAGTTTGGAGGAAATAGACCTTGACATTTGGGATGTGTAGTTACTGGGATTTATAGTTCACTACAATTAAAGAGCATTCTGAAACCCTCAAACGACAGAAATGGGGCAAACTTCCCACACAGAACCCCCATGACTAACAGAAAATACTTAAGGCCATCCAGTCCAACTCTCTTCACCAGGGCAATAAAATGTAATCAGAGCCCTCCTGACAAAGAACCATCCAGTCATAAATATAGATAGATAGAGATGATTCTCACACACACACACAGATATAGTATCACAGATTTGAAAGAGACCCTTAAAGAAGGACTATGATATGTTGCATATTCCAGAGTAGGCAAACCAGGCACTCTCCACATCAACACTGACAAAGAAAGAACAAGAAATACTGTTTACCCACAAGCAGAAAGGAATTACATATATTAGAAACCAACACTTTCTCATTACTTTATTTTCCAGATCACCAGACTGGGCCACAGCAATGCGTGGCAGGGGACAGCTAGTTTCCAATAAAGTTATAGCCCATATCTTGTTGAACCAACTCTCCATTGCTCAATTCTCTATCTTTTCTCACGTTCTGGCTATTTTGAGTCTTGCGGCGCATAACATGAGTATAATATATTTATTTACCTTATCCTCAACCGTGACATTTAAAACAGGCCCTCCCTGGGTGCATCTACGCTATAGAATTAATGCAGTTTAACACCACTTTAGTTGCCCTGGCTCCATGCTTCAGAAAGATGGGGTTTGTAGTTTGGTGAGGCACCAACACACTCTTGTCAGAGAAGGCTCAAGAAGACCCTACAGAACTACAACTCCCAAAATTCCTTAGCATTGAGCCATGGCAGCTAAAGTGGTGTTAAACCGCATCAGTTCTACAGTGTAGATGCACCCCGTTTCTCCACCAATCTGTATGTTTGTTTGGTACTTTCTGATACTTACATGAAGACAATAGCAGCATCCCTGGAGAAATCCAGCAAGATCTCATTCATCCGCACTTGACGAAGGGACTGAAGGACAGAAAGGCAGAAAACATTCTCCATTTGGAACGGCGTCTATTCAGCCCAGTTTCTCTGTTTCCCCAAAACTGTCAGCCCACAAAAAGCACATTAAAAGGACTCCCTTCTCACAGCTGAACTGCAGTGAATGGCTTGCAGGAAGGTATATGACCCCCGTATCCACAGTTCCCTTTATCCACTTCTAACAAAATATATCCTCTTGAAGGAGACAATGAGTGATTTTTGCAACAGCTAAGCTTTAGCAATGAAACAAAAGAGAAATGTACCCCTCCCTGCAGAGAAAGAACAATATGTCAGCAAGGAGGAAAAATAATCTAAGTTTTGCACCCCTCCCGAGAGAGGTGACAGTTAGGGCACATGCTATATGCCTGAGTTAAGTTGCAAAAGTGCTCAGCTTACATAGGAAATGGGTTTGCGGTGAAGCACAAAGTTTGCAAGTAGAGAACAAATTGTGGGTTTGACAAACAAAGGTTCAGGCCAGGTGCAAGCATCAAAAGGTTGATGGGAGGGGATACTGGAAAGAGTACAAGGTCAACCATCAGGGTACTTTCCATGACCAAAATGGGGATCGTACTCTAATGAGAATCTGCAGCAGGGGGACCAAGCAATATGGAGAAGATTAATGGATGGATAGACAATAGAGATACATAGATAGATAGAGGATAAATGGATGGATAGACGATAGATACTGAGAGAGATATGATAGAGAAAAGACAGAGATAGATAGATAGATAGATAGATAGATAGATAGATAGATAGATGATAGTGATAGATAGATTTTTTTTTCATGTCAGGGACAACTTGAGAAACTGCAAGTCATTTCTGGTGTGGGAGAATTGGCCATCTGAAAGGACGTTGCCCAGGGGACACCTGGATGTTTTGATGTTTTTACCATCCTTATTCCCATGTCCCCACATGGGGAGCTGGAGCTGTCAGACGGAGCTCATCCACGCTCTCCCTGGATTTGAACCTACGACCTGTCAGTCTTCAGTCCTGCTGGCACAAGGGTTTAATCCATTGCACCACTGGGGACTCCGATAGATAGATAGATAGATAGATAGATAGATAGATAGATAGATAGATAGATAGATAAGATAAATTGTTGGATATATTAGATTGCAATAGATAGACAGATAGATAGATAGGGGACAGGTAGATGGACAGATGAGATAGTTAAATGATAGATAGATAGATAGATAGATAGATAGATAGATAGATAGATAGAATAAATGGTTAGTGATAGATAGGATAAATAGGATAAATTGTTGTATAGATTAGATAGATAGATAGATAGATAGATAGATAGATAGATAGATAGAGGACAGGTCGATGGAGAGATGAGATAGTTAAATAATGGATAGATAGATAGAGAGAGAGAATAAATGGTTAGCGATAGATAGGATAAATAGGATAAATTGTTGTATAGATTAGATAGATAGATAGATAGATAGATAGATAGATAGATAGATAGATAGATAGAGGACAGGTCGATGGAGAGATGAGATAGATAGATGATATAGATGACAGACAGACAGACTAGGTACATGGTTGACTAGATAAGTACAGGACAGCTGGATGGATGGATATGATAAATTTTTGGATAGATTAGAATAGATAGATAGATAGATAGATAGATAGATAGATGATAGATAGATGATAGCAATAGACAGAGAGAGAGATGTTAGTGATAGATAGATAGATCGATCGATAGGATAAATTGTTGGATGGATTAAATTAGATAGATAGATAGATAGATAGATAGATAGATAGATGATAGTGATACATAATCAATAAAATAGATTAAATTAGATTGGATTAGATAGATAGACAAGATAAATGGTTGAACAGATTAAATAAGTAGATGATAGAGGTGTAGGTGGATGGATAGAGAGAGAGAGAGAGAGAATGATAGATAGATGGATAGAGGACAGCTGGATGGACAGATGAGATAGGTAGGTAGTAGGTAGACAGACAAACAGACAGACAGACAGACAGAGAGTTTCATGGCAGTGCTCTTGCCTTGACGTTCCTCCCTTCATCCAATGGCCCAGAGAGGAAGGAACAGGCCCTCTCAGTCCCATCTACACTGCCCTAAATCCCAGGATCTGATCCCAGCAGATAAAATGGATTATATGAGTCTCCACTGCCATATAACCCAGTTCAAAGCCAATAAACTGGATTTAATATGGCATTGTAGAAGGGGCCCCGGGGTTGACTTTTCTCATCTGCTCTGAGCTGGCTGCCCCACCTTGGCCTTGTTCTTGGCCTCCTCCTCGTCCGAAATCTTCCAGGGGCAGCCGTGCCTCATCTCGTTGACCGCAGCCTCGTCTTTGAAGCCGTCGTTCAGTCTGAACGGGGCAATCAAGTCCTCGAATCTTTTCACGCTGCAAAGGAAAAGCCGTGTGAGCGCATGAGAGTGACCACAGGTGCATCTACACCACAGAACGAGTGCAGTGTGACCCCGCTTTAACAATCCTAGAGAACATAATGGGATTTTACTGTTCAGGCCGGGGCTTCTGGTTGATGTCTGGAAGGATGTGGACTTCGTGGAACCCGAGTCGGAATTTGCTGAGCAGAGAGATGATCCTATAGTAGGGATAGGGATGGAGAAAGAGAAAGAAGGGCCTTCAAAAATCAAATAATAGTACATTCACTATTTAAGTGACATTTTTCTCAAACTATGGAATTATGGAAGTTGGAGTGTCCAACGCAATTCTAATAGCAGGCATGGGCCAACTTTGGCCCTCCAGGTGTTTTGGACTTCAACTCCCACAATTCCTCTGCTGGTGTTCTGTGTGGGAAGTTTGGCCCGATTCTATTGTTAGTTGAGTTCAGAATGCTCTTTAATTGAAGGTGAACTATAAATCCCAGCAACTTCAACTCCCAAATGTCAAGGTCTATTTCTCCCAAACTCCACCAAAGCTCACATTTGGGCATATTGATTATCCGTGCCAAGTTTGGTCCAGATCCATCACTGTTTACGTCCACAGAGCTGTCTGGATGTACGTGAACTACAACTCCAAAACTCAAGGCCAATGCCCACCAAACCCTTCCAGTATTTTCTGTTGGTCATGAGAGTTCTGTGTACTAAGTTTGGCCCAATTCCATCGCTGGTTGAGTTCAGAATGCTCTTTGATTGTAGGTGAACTATAAATCCCAGCTATTTCAACTCCCAAATGTCAAGGTCTATTTCCCCTCAAACTCCACCAAAGCTCACATTTGGGCATATTGAGTATCCATGCCAAGTTTGGTCCAGATCCATCACTGTTTACGTCCACAGTGCTGTCTGAATGTAGGTGAACTACAACTTCCAAACTCAAGCTCAATGCCCACCAAACCCTTTCAGTATTTTCTGTTGATCATGGGAGTTCTGTGTGCCAAGTTTGGTTCAAGTCCATTGTTGGTGTAGTTCAGAATGCTCTTTGATGGTAGGTGAACTATCAATCCCAGCAACTAAAATTTCCAAATGACAACATCAACCCCCCCCCCCCCCCCCCCCCCCCCCCCCCCCGAACCCCACCAATATTCATATCCGGGCGTATCAGGTATTTGTGCCAAATTTAGTCCAGTGAATGAAAATGCATCCTGCATACCAGATATTTACATTATGATTCATAACATTAGCAAAATATTATTAAGTAGTAACGAACATAATGTTATAGTTGGGGGTCACCACAACATGAGGAACTGTATTGAGGGGTCGCGGCACTAGGAAGGTTGAGAAACACTGGCTTAAGGGATATGCCTCATAATCTGTCCCAGACTTATTTTGGAGTTCAGCCTGTGATGTTTCAGGATCAGGGTGCTTTGGATGTGGGAAGTGATGCCAATGAATTTCAAGATGGCAATGGTTTGGTCAATGATACTGATGCAGAGAAGGACCAGGAGACCCCTGTGCAAAGTGTAGTTTCTCATGAGAATGTCCCTGAAGGGTGTGGGGATGGTAGTGTACTCCCTGAGTTGCTACCAGAGAGTTCCCAGGATTTGGGGCTTGAAAACAACTCTGCACCTGGCCCAGCTGCAAAACTTAATGAGCAAATAGATAGACGAGAGGAAATTACTCAAAACAGACAGGCCGAACAGTGCCTTTGGCGTTCTGCCAGGCTCCGACAGAAAAAGATAAGGGAATTCAAGTAAAGCAAAACCAATTCCTGAGTGCGTGGAATAGCTTAACGAGGGGATAAAAGTTCCAAGTATGGGAAATATAGTCAGATGAAGCATCGTTTGGAATCAAGTGTAGTTCTCGTCCTTGTTTTATGGAAGCTTTGCTTGGAAGATTCTTGTTGAAGTATTTCTTGTTTCATGGTTTGGAATGTATGAATGTCTATTCATGCTTTGGATTAATGATTCCTTCTTTTCCTGAATTACATTAGAGAAGTGTGGACTTTGTTTTTATGGACTTTGCTGAACTTTACCCTGGACTATTTTTGCTCCTGCTTATCTTCTTACCTAATTGGAATTACCTATTTCTTTAAAGTGCTTTTTACATGCTGCTTTTTTAATTATCTTCAATAAAAGGATTGTTTTCCAATCAATGGTGTGGTGTTTACAGTCAGAGGGCTTTTCCTGTCCTGGAGTGCAACAACTTACGCTTTCCGTTCTTCATCCATCCTATTGATCTGCCCGCCAACAAAAACCCGGATCTTGCATTTCCCCCATCTCTTCTTGCGGCTGAGGAGGTATGGGATGAGCAGTGTCAGGCCTGCCAGGAGATAATTATTATTATTTCACTATGTAACAATTATTATTATTATTATTATTATTATTATTATTATTATTATTATTATTACTAAACATAAAATTATTAATATTATTTAATATTAATATTTTGATTGTTTACTATAATAATATTATTTATTATTATATTAAAATATTGATATTAATATTATTACACTATGTGACAACATTGGAATTTTTTCTGTTCCTGGTTTGAAAGTGTCTTTTTCCTGTTTCATGGTATGATCCTTACTTTGAAAGTAGATGTCCTATTCCAGAAACTTTGTTTTTGTGGCTGCCAATTTGGTTGAGAAACTTCCTTTTTGTGGCACAAATTATGTTGATTTGGTTGAGAATCAATGAGATGTTCATTAGAAAACTAGAGCAAAGTGTCCTGCAGGTTGTCCCTCTCTCAACAACAAAGTTTGGCAGTTTAATCAACTTTTCCCATGTTTTTTTGACAATAATCAATTAGGAAATGACATTTACATCCCAGGAACAAAAATCATGTTACATTGTATTATTATTATTATTATTATTATTATTATTATTATTATTATTGATAACAACAACAATTAATTCCTTCCCCATCTCCCTCTTTTTCCTTCATTCCTTCCTTCTTTCTTTCCTTCCTTCTTTCCCTTTTTACTTCATTCACTTTCTTTATTCCTTCTTTTCCTATTTCCTTCCTTCCTTCTTTCCTTTCTTAGTTCCATCCTTTCCTCCTTCTCCCTCCCTCCCTCCCTCTCCTGTCTCCTTCTTTCATTTGTTTACTGTCTCCTTTTTTCCTTCTCCTTCCCTCCCTTCTTCCCTCCTTCCTTCTTTGCTCCCTCTTTCCTCTTCCTTCCTTATTCCTTCCTTTCCTCCTTTCTTCCTACCTCCCTCCCTTCCTTTTCCTTTCTTTCCTTTCCTTTTTTCCTTCCTTCCTTCCTTCCTTCTTCCTTCCTTCCTTCCTTCTTCCTTCCTTTCCTCCTCTTCCTTCCTTCCTTCCTCTTCTTCTCTTCCCTTCTTCTTCCTCTTTCTCCTTCCTTCTTCCTTTTCCCCTCCCTCCCTCTTCTTCCTGTCTTTTTTCCTCCCTCCCTCCCTCCCTCCCTCCCTTTTTTTCCTTCCTTCCTTCCTTCCTTCTTTCTTCCTTCCTTCCTTCTTCTTTCTTTTCTCATTCCTTCTTTCCTCCTCTTCCTTTCCTCCCTCTCCTCTTTCTTTTCCTTTCCTCCTCCTTTTCCTTCCTTCCTTCTTCCTTCCTTCCTTCCTCCTTTTTCCTTTTCACTTCCTCCTTCCCTCCCCCCTTCCCTCCCTCCCTCCCTCCCTCCTCCCTCTCTTCCTTCATTCCTTCCTTCCTTCCCTCTTCTTCCTTCTCTTCCTTCATTTCCTCCTCCCTCCCTCCCTTCCTCCCTCTTTTTCCTCCCTCCCTCCCTCCCTCCCTCCCTCCCTCCCTCCCTCCTTCCTTCCTTCCTTCCTTCTTTCTTTTCTTCATTCCTTCCTTTCCTCCTTCCTTCCCATCTCTCTCCCAATCCTCTGCATCTTTCCTTCCTTCCTTCCTTCCTTCCTTCCTTCCTTCCTTCCTTCCTTCCTTCCCTCCCTCCCTCCCTCCCTCCCTCCCTCCCTCCCTTTCTTTCCTGCCTCTTTTCTTCTTTCTCTTAATCCTTCCTTCCCTCCTTATTTACCTCCATCATCAAACAGCCAATATATGTCGATGGTTTTTTTGTCCTGTACGATTTGGAAAAGGGTGCTTGCTTGCTGCTCTGCCACCAAAGCATCCGGATCCACTGGAAACATTAAACGAAAATAAATCTGCATCAGTAAAAAGCATTGAGGATTTAGATCCAAAACTTGTAATGACAATACAAAGCCATTTCAAGATGATACAATGGTTGAAGTAGGGATGCTTTATCTCTATATTCTGCAGTGGAAGATTCTTTGAATTTCACAGGAGGCTTGGTAAGGACGTGACATAAAGTGCATCTTCTACACAGTTGACTTATTGCAGTTTGATACTACTTTAATTGCTTGGTACTTTGGAACTGTGATGGTCCTGAACAGGGAATGTGTGTTTGGAAGGAACAACTATACAATACATAGACTACAGTCTATGTTAATTGAGCAAAAGGAGAAATCGAATATATATTTGATATGGAAATTATTAGCTTCATGTATCAAAGTAATGGCAGATTCAAACCATCAAGTGACCAAGAAAGACTGTGGATTAATAATATATTACAATGATTATATGCAATGGGCGAATAATTAGATGCCCTGGCCCTTGAGCACTCCAGCTGGAGGTCAGCTGTGACCAGCAGTGCTGTAGAATTTGAAGAGGCACAAATGGAGGGCGAAAAAGAGAAACATGCCAAGAGGAAGGCGCATCAAGCCAACCCTGACCAGGACCGCCTTCCACCTGGAAACCGATGCCCTCACTATGGGAGAAGATGCAGATCAAGAACAGGGCTCCACCATCACCTACGGACCCACCGCCAGGATACTACACTTGGAGGACCATCATCCTTGGACTACGAGGGATTGCCTAAGTACTTAAGTAAGATGTAATAGAAGTGATGAGAGATGTTCAACAGTGGAACTCTCTGCCTCGGAGTCCGGTGGATGCTCCTTCTATGGGGGCTTTTAAACAGAGACTGGATGGCCATCTGTCAGGGAGGTTTTGATTGTGCTTTTCCTGCATGGCAGAATGGAGTTGGATGGCCCTTCAGATCTCTCCCAACTCTAGGATTCTATCAATCAGAGGCTGGATGGCCATCCGTTGGGAGGGCTTGGATTGTGCATTGGACTGGATATCCCTTGGGAGTGTCTTCCAACTGCAGGAGCCTTTGATTCTATACTCTCGATTCTCCACGAACACACTAATGTTTATGAGATTGGGTGACCATCTGTTGGGAGGGCTTGGATTGTGCATTGGACTAGTAGCCTTTGGGAGTGCCTTCCAACTTTAGGAGCCATTGCTTCTATAGTCAATTTCTCCATGAATCTATTAAGGTCTATGAAGCTGAATTGTCATCTGTTGGGAGGGCTTATATTGTGCTTTTCCTGCATGGCAGAACAGGGTTGGACTGGATGGCCTTTGGGGGTCTCTTCCAACTTAAGGATTCTACAGTATGATTTGGAGGCTGTATGGCCATCTGTTGGGAGGGCTTGGATTGTGCATTGAACTGGAGACCCTTAGGAGTGACTTCCAACTCTTAAGAGCCTTTGATTTTATAGTTCTGATTCTCCTCAAATCCACTAATGTTGGAAATGTAGTTTGGGAAGGAGAAGAGTCCTATGTCAGGCTGGATGGCCATCTGCTGGGAGGGCTTTGATTGTGCATTTCCTGCATGGCAGAATGGGTTTTGGCTGGATGGCCTTTGAAGGTCTCCTCTAACTCTATGCTTCTATTGCCCTATTTCTCCTTGAACCTGGTAAGGCTGGATGGTCATCTGCTGGGAGGGCTTTGATTGTGATTTTCCTGCATGGCAGAATGGAGTTTGGACTGGGTGGCCTTTTAGGGTCCCTTCTAATTCTATGATCCTATAGCCCTATTCCTCCATGAACCTGCTAAATGTCTATGAGGCTGGATGGCCATCTGCTGGGAGAGCTTTGATTGTGCTTTTCCTGAATGGCAGAACAGGATTTGGCTGGATGGCCTTTGAAAGTCTCTTCTAACTCTATGTTTCTATTGCCCTATTTCTCCTTGAACCTGGTAAGGCTGGATGGCCATCTGCTGGGAGGGCTTTGATTGTGCTTTTCCTGAACGGCAGAATAGGGTTTGGCTGGATGGCCTTTGAAAGTCTCCTCTAACTTTATGCTTCTATAGCCCTATTTCTCCATGAACCTGCTGAGGCTGGATGGCCATCTGCTGGGAGGGCTTTGATTGTGCTTTTCCTGCATGGCAGAACAGGGTTTTTGCTGGATGGCCTTTGAGGATCCCTTCTACTCCTATGATTCTATAGCCTTATTTCTTCATGAACCTAATAATATATGGGGCTGGATGGTCATCTGTTGGGAGAGCTTTGATTGTCCCATGATTCTTCATGAACCTAATAATATATGAGGCTGGATGGCCATCTGTTGGGAGAGCTTTGATTGTGCCATGATTCTATATGCCTAATAATATATGAGGCTGGATGGTCATCTGTTGGGAGAGCTTTGATTGTCCCATGATTCTTCATGAACCTAATAGTATATGAGGCTGGATGGCCATCTGTTGGGAGAGCTTTGATTGTGCTTTTTCTGCATGGCAGAATGGGGTTGGACTGGATGGCCTTTGGGGGTCTCTTCCAACTCTAGGGTTCTATGATTCAGAGGCCAGATGGCCATCTGTCAGGAGGGCTTGCATTGGATAGCCCTTGGGAGTATGAGCCGTTGATTCTATAGCCCTATTTCTCCATGAACCGGCTAATGTCTATGAGGTTGGATGGTCATCTGTTGGGAGGGCTTGGATTGTGTCGTCCTGCCTGCAAGAATAATGGGGCTGGACTAGATGGCCCTTGGGGTCCCTTCCAACTATATGCCTCTATCCAGACACACATATTTGCATTTGCAAAGATGAACCTGCCAGGGACTGACATGTGCCGGCTACCGATGGCGTGTTGCCGTTCTTTTCCGGATCCTCCGTGGGCTCAAAAACGGGATTGACTGAGAAGAAAGGAGAGGACATGTTAAAAACAGGGGTGTGCAAATCTTCCTTTTAAAACCGTAAGTCGTATCTAATTTGTAAAGAATCAAAACTCAACCAATGCTTTTTTGTTTGACTTCTGTAATGCTCGGAAGTCAGCGCAAGCAAGCGAGGCAAAGCCAAAAAGGCTGCCATTCCTCTCGCTATGAGGAGAGGGGAGCAGCAGGGTGGGATGAGCTGAGTGAGCTGGGAAAGAGACTGAGAGAGCACAGAATTCTGAGAAATGTAGTTTGGGAAGGAGAAGAGTCCTATGGCAGAGAATCCAAAAGGCCCAGCGAGGCAAAGCCAAAAAGGCTGCCGTTCCTCTCGCTATGAGGAGAGGAGAGCAGCAGGGTGGGATGAGCTGAGTGAGCTGGGAAAGAGACTGAGAGAGCACAGAATTCTGGGAAATGTAGTTTGGGAAGGAGAAGAGTCTGATACTCACTGTGCGCTTGCATGAGCCGCGACACGTTGAGCCCCTCTTTCATCCGCATCATGCACACCCCGAATTTGAAGTCAAAGGCATCGCTGGAACACAATACACACAGAGAGACAGAAAAAGACTCAACAGATGTCGGTACTGGTATGCGTCAGGTACTGGCTTGTTCAGTAGACTCTCCTCTACAGTTCCATTTTGGCGGGAAGCCTTAGCATTGAACGGTTGTGTCTTAAAGTGTGAAATATGGAACCACCTATCCATTTCAAAGAGGTCATAAACAAACCAATGAAACCATCCCGTTGTCCAACTTACTGGAGGATCCCAATGTATTCTTCTACTGTCTGTGGATGAGCTGACTGCCAGTTCTTCTTGTATCCAAGCACGAGGACGTTGGGTTTCATTCTCCCAAGACCCGAGGCCTTCACCAAAGAAATAGTTTGAGAAGGACAATATATTTCACATCCATAACTGATGATTTCCAGATTGAAGATGCTCAACTTTTAGTTGCTTCCGAACCCTAAGCACACTCAAGAGAAGCCACAACAGAGGTGGAAGATCTCCTTCTCTTTGGCCTTCTGAGGTCCTCCTCTTGAGCTCACCTGCATCAGGATTTGCACGCCGGCCCTCAAGTCCTCCGCCAAGACCTCTGTGTAGAAAGACTTGATCTTCCGCTTGGTCAGCCACTTGACATGGCCCTTGGAAGCGAGCCGGAGCTCCGGGAGGACCTGTTTGCATGGCCCCTGGAGAAGAAAAGATGGAGGAGAAACAAAGGAAGAAGATGGATGGTCTCCAGCACATAAAGCTTTACATCTACCCAAGAGTCACTTCCAATTTCAATAGTTACTCTAGCAATTGGATTTGGAACAAGACATGCAGATAGATGGCTGGAGAGAGGGGGGGGGCAGTTAGATGGATAGATGGACAGATAGATGGACAGGTAGGCAGAGAGAGAGAGAGAGAGAGAGAGAGAGAGAGAGAGAGAGAGAGAGATAGAGAAAATCTGTTGACTCCAGTGCAGACAGGTAGATAACACAGATAGGTCTTATCTATCTGATAGGAAGATAAATGATGTATGGACAGAAGGACAGATGGATGGACAGACATATCAATATAGATGGAGAATTGTTGACTGTCCTGCAAACAGGTAGATAAGGCAGATAGGTAGATAGGTGATGGATGGATGGATGAATGGACAAACAGGCATATAGATATAGATAGAAAATTGTTGACTGCCCTGTAGATGGGTAGATAATAGGGCTGGGCGGTTTCGTTTCGTTAATTCGTAATTCGTTAATAATTCGTTAATTTTTTCAATTACAAAACGATAACGAACCAGTCTGGAGCAATTATTTAAAAAAAACGAATTTTCAAAAACGTTTTGTAAATGCTTTGTATTTCGATATTGTATTCGTTTCGTTATTGTTTTGAGGTCGTTTCGTTATTATTTCCGCATGTCTGGGCCAGTTTTATGGTTTAATTAGTGAAAAAAAATTATAATATCACACCAACAGTCAACAACAGAGGGAGAGGGAAGCTTCAGAAAGTTTTTTAGCGTATTTCGCGGTCGCGCCCGCCATTAACGAATCGATTCGTTATTGTTTCGGAAATCGATTCGTTAATTTTTACCATTTACGAAATTTCGTAAATATCGAACTTTTTAAAAGGAAAATTTTGTAATTATTTTAAATATCGAAACAAAAAAACCCCCCAAATACAAATCGATTTTAGAAACAAATTTTTCCGTTGTTACCCAGGCCTAGTAGATAAGGCAGATAGGTAAATAGGTGATGGATGGACAGATGGACATATAGATATGTCCAGGTTCGCAGCTTGGGAGTGATCCTGGACTCATCGCTGAGCCTGGAGCCCCAGGTCTCGGCGGTGGTCAGGGGAGGTTTTGCATAATTAAAACTTGTGCGCCAGCTGCGCCCGTACCTTGGGAAGTCTGACTTGGCCACGGTGGTCCACGCTCTGGTTACATCCCGTTTAGACTACTGCAATGCTCTCTATGTGGGGCTGCCTCTGAAGACTGCCCGGAAGCTTCAATCAGTCCAATGTGCGGCAGCCAGATTGCTAACAGGAGCGGGGTACAGAGACCATACGACCCCTCTGTTACGCCAGCTCCACTGGCTGCCAATTAGCTTCCGTGCACAATTCAAAGTGCTGGTGTTGACCTATAAAGCCCTAAACGACTCCGGCCCAGTTTACCTGTCCGAACGGATTCTCCCCTATCAAGGCTATTAAGATCTTCCGGGAGGGGGGGCTGCTCTCGGTCCCACCACCCTCGCAATCACGGTTGGTGGGGACGAGGGACAGGGCCTTCTCGGTGGTGGCTCCCCGCTTTGGAACTCCCTCCCACTAGAGATTAGATCTGCTCCCTCCCTCCTGACGTTCAGGAAACTACTAAAGACCTGGCTCTGGAATGTGGCATTCGAGGACTGAATCTATAACCTCCTTCCACAAGGAAGGAGGATGATGAACTGTGACTATGACTATGACTATGACTGGATTGACGACTTGGCTTAGGTAATTGTGATGATGATGTTTTTATTGTACTTTATTGTACTATTTTAATATGTAATGACGTTGCACTTTGTTGTACTTATATATTATTGTACTTTCATATATGCTGTAAACCGACCTGAGTCCCTCGCTGAGGTGAGAAGGCCGGTATAGAAAACTTCTAAATAAATATACTGTAGATAGAGAATTCTTGGTTATCCTGCAGACAGGTAGATAGGTAGATAGCTAAATGATAGATTAAATGGATTAGATGGATGGATGGACAGATGGATGGACAAATAATAGATAGATAGATAGATAGATAGATAGATAGATAGATAGATAGATAGATAGATAGTGGGTGGACAGACAGACATATAGATAGAGAATTGTCGACTGTCCTGCAAATGGATAAATAAAGACAGATAAGTAGATAGATGATGGATGGTTGGACGGACAGATGGACAGACAGCCATATAGATACAGATAGAGAATTGTTGACTATACTGCAGACAGGTAGATAGGTGATAGACGCATGGATGGATAAATGATAGATAGATTAAATAGAGGGATGGATGGACAAATGCAAGATACTCCACTTAGGCAGGAAAAACGAAATGCAAAGAGACAGAATGGGGGACAACCTGGCTCGAGAGCAGTACGTGTGAAAAAGATCTTGGAGTCCTCGTGGACAACAAGTTAAACATGAGCCAACAATGTGATGTGGCGCAAAAAAAGCCAATGGGATTTTGGCCTGCATCAATAGGAGCATAGTGTCTAGATCTAGGGAAGTAATGCTACCCCTCTATTCGGCTTTGGTTAGACCACACCTGGAATATTGTGTCCAATTCTGGGCATCAATGAAGAGAGATATTGACAAGTTGGAATGTGTCCAGAGGAGAGTGACTAAAATGATCAAGGGTCTGGAGAACAAGCCCTATGAGGAGCGGCTTAAGGAGCTGGCATGTTTAGCCTGAAGAAGAGAAGGCTGAGAGGAGATATGATAGCCATGTATAAATATGTGAGAGGAAGCCACAGGGAGGAGGGAGCAAATTTGTTTTCTGCTTCCTTGGAGACTAGGACGCAGAACAATGGCTTCAAACTACAAGAGAGGAGATTCCATCTGAACATGAGGAAGAACTTCCTGACTGTGAGAGCCGTTCAGCAGTGGAACTCTCTGCCCGGAGTGTGGTGGAGGCTCCTTCTTTGGAAGCTTTTAAACAGAGGCTGGATGGCCATCTGTCAGGGCTGATTTGAATGCAATTTTCCTGCTTCTTGGCAGAATGGGATTGGACTGGATGGCCCATGAGGTCTCTTCCAACTCTAGGATTCTATGATTCTATGACTGATAGAGAGACAAACAAGCAGGCAGATTGAGAGAGAATCTGTTGACTATAGATAAGACAGATGGATGGATGGACAGATGAAAAGACAGATGGACAGACAGGTAGGTGGGTAGAGGGAAAAATAGATGGACAGATGGACAAACGAACAAACAGAATGACAGACAAATAGATATAGACACAGACAATATGTTGACCATCCTGCAGACAGACGGATAGGAGATGAATTGATAGATGGAAGGATGGATGGAAAGATGGATGGACAAGAGATAGATAGATAGATAGATAGATAGATAGATAGATAGATAGATAGGTGGTGGGTGGATAGATAGATGGATGGACAGACAGACAGACAGACATGGAGATGGAGGCAGAGACAGAAACAGAGACAATGGAGATAGAGATGGAGATAGAGAAGCTGTTGACTATCCTGCAATGATAAATACTCACAACCAACACATTTCCGCAGATCATCAGGCTAACGTTTTTGGTGAAGGTGCCCACGAAATCCACCAGAGCTGGACGGAAATTGGGAGGGCCAGTCAGGACCAGACACTGAGGTCTGAAAAAGAAAGAGAGAAGGGTTTCTTTCGGCAGGAAAGACTCACAGGTTTGTCAGTTCCATCTTCTGAAATAGAGACTACAGCATCCAGTATCCCTTGAAAGTTCTTCTGAACTTAAGGGAGGGCCTTCTTTTTGGACTGCCACTCCCAGCATCCCCCAGCAACCATGACAATCATATCTGAGGGAAAGTGACCAAGGTTGGATCTTGTGCACATGCATTCCTTCAAGTCACCTCACAGGAAACAGACTGGCATCTGGTAGAGCTGCTGTTGCAATGAAGACGAGGACAAGGATGATGTGGATGAGGATTCGGTACTATCTTTACCTGTAGTTTTTAATGTGGTCATCCACCTCATTAAGTCCAACAGAATAGTTCAGAGCCATGTTGTAGGAACCAGCTTGCACCGAGGAGCCCCAATTCACAACTGAAGAGAGACAGTAAACAAAGATCAGATCGCATGTTCTCCATTTAATGCTTCCTGTTGTGCATTTCTTGATTGTGGCCCTCTTTCAGTTTACACAAATCCCAAAAGCCTATAGCATTGACCCATGGCAGTATGTATTTTTTTAGAAATTAGAAATTATTCTGCAATTTCTGCTTTGTTTGGGATCCAGCCTTTCCCCAGTGCATCAGCTTATATTCCATTGAGGGTTTTGTGCCAACGCCTGTCTTCCTCTTGTACATTGGGAAGGTCCAATAAGATGGAAACCAACACAAGATGGAGCCTACCATAAGATGGAACTCAACCACAAGATAGAACCTAACACAAAATGGAACCTGCTACAGGATGGAACCCACCACAAGATGGAACCCAACCACAAGATGGAACCCACCACAAGATGGAAACCAACACAAGACGGTACCCGACACAAGATGGAGCCTACTATAAGAGGGAACCCAACCACAAGATGCAACCCACCATAAGATAGAACTCAACACGAGATAGAGCCTAACACAAAATGGAACCCACCACAAGATGGAACCCAACCACAAGATGGAACCCAACCACAAGATGGAACCCACCACAAGATGGTACCCGACACAAGATGGAGCCTACTATAAGATGGAACCCAATCACAAGATGCAACCCACCATAAGATAGAACTCAACACAAGATAGAGCCTAACACAAAATGGAACCTGCTACAGGATGGAACCCACCACAAGATGGAACCCACCACAAGATGGAACCCACCACAAGATGGTACCCGACACAAGATAGAGCCTACCATAAGATGGAACCCAATCACAAGATGCAACCCACCATAAGATAGAACTCAACACAAGATAGAGCCTTACACAAAATGGAACACAACATAGGATGGAGCCCAACACAAGATGGAACCCAACCACAAGATGGAACCCACGACAAGATGGAAACCAACACAAGATTGTACCCAACACAAGATGGAGCCTACTATAAGATGTAACCCAACCACAAGATGCAACCCACCATAAGATGGAACTCAACACAAGATAAAGCCTAACACAAATAGAACACAACATAGGGTGGAGCCCAACACAAAGATGGAACCCAACCACAAGATGGAACCCACCATAAGATGGAACTCAACACAAGATAGAGCCTAACACAAAATGGAATCCAACATAGGATGGAACCCAACACAAGATGGAATCAAACACAAGATGGAACCCACCACAAGAAGAAAACCAACCACAAGATGGAAACCAACACAAGATGGAACCCAACACAAGATGGAGCCTACTATAAGATGGAACCCCACACAAGATGGAACCCACCACAAGATGAATATCAACCACAAGATGGAAACCAACACAAGATGGAACCTAACACAAGATGGAACTCAACACAAGATAGAGCCCAACACAAGATGGAACCCAAGATAGGATGGAATTCAACCACAAGATGGAACGCACCACCATATGGAACTCAATCACAAGATAGAAACTAAGCACAAGAAGGAGCCTATTACAAGATGTAATCCCATCATGAAGGAACCCACCACAAGATTTAATTCAATCACAAGATGGAAAATACCATAAGAAGAAACCCAACCACAAGATGGAACCCACCACAAGATGGAAGGCATTACAAGACGGAACCAATCACCACCCTGCCATAGTTGTACCCTGCTCCTCGTTGCAGATGGGATCCTTTCACCACCTCTCCAGACCCAACAGGTGATTTGCTAATAATATCAGTTACCTACCAGGCTTCTTGTAGAGCACGTATCCCAGCAAGAAAACCACAATTCCAATGGCAATGAGGGCGGCCCACCAGGTGAGCAAGAACATGATGACCACTGAGATGACGGCCCCAAAGAGAGCTGCCCATTTGCTGTAATACCGGAAGGAGGGCCTCCAACCTGCAAGGATGGCACAAAGAGACCAGTTGGCATCCATCCATGTGGGATTTAGAGAATTATTCTATACTCAAACCACTACACCACACTGACTTAGTACTAGCAACCTTGCATCTCATACTGGGAGAAAGACAAGGTATAAATTTAATAAATAGATAACACTCATATACTACTATGATGCCATTTCTCACCTGGCGAATTGGTAATGGAGGCATGGAAGCAGCTGAAGTTGATGAGCGCATAGGAGCAGAGGAAGAAGTTGGAGATGATGGGAGCAATGGCATTCAATTCCGCTGATTAAGGAAAAAGCAGAGTATAAAGAAGTGTACGATATGAATCTCTCCACTGGCACCAATGATAGAGAAGTGTGTTTTATATACTAGTATAAATCTGTTGTGACTCAGGTACCAGAGATTGTCTCACACAGCAATTAAAGGGTTAACAGAAGTCTTTAATGAGTCTCTATCAGTAAGAGCACTTAACAGCAGTGCTAATTACCAAAACAAAAGAGCCTTCAGGCAAGTAAACAAAGAGGGAGATAAGCCGGATCTTCCAGGACTCGAGCTCAGCAAAAAGGAAAGCAGGAGTTAACATGAGCTTGTGGCAAACACAAAATCAAAACAGCTTCTTAATCAAGCAGAGTTCAGAGCAATAACAAAGTCCAGTAAACAGTTGCGTAGTACAAAGCCGATTCCAAGGTCAGGGGCAGGATGAAGTCACTCACGTAGAACAGTTCCGAAGTCAAGACACACGAGGCAGGATAGCTGGATACCAGGGACCCAAACAGAGGTTAGGCAGCGCAAAGCACACAAACAACACGTTGTCTTCTGCAAAGTTACACATCCCAGCGCTCCCAATTTATTGGCAGTCACTATCACTTGATTGGCCTTCATCACTAGCATCTGAATCATTTCCCTCAGCTGCTGGCTCATTACCACGCCAACGCTGCCATCGTTGATCCAATTCCTGATCCTGCCAAGATGAACCTGCCTCCCATGTATCTTGGAACCCCTCGAACTCGTCACTGGACATAGCTTGGGTGCATATGTCCCTAATGTTCTTAACAAGAGTCCAATCCAGTTCCTCCTCCATTTCTCCCTCACTGGCTTCCAATTCACCTGAACTGGAATTGTCAGCTGTATCTTTAAGTCTTTTACTCAGGGTGTCTTCATCACTATCAGATTCACTGGCAACACGCTTTACTCCCCGGTAATCTGACTCTACTAGCTCCTCAGGGCCGAACTCTGCAAAGTCCTCCGTATCACTCGGGGCCAAAATGATTTCACGAATGCGCTTCAGCTGACGCTGATCCAGCTCTGACTCAGCATCACTCCTCCTTCTCCTGCAACTGGTAGTAGATTCACTGCCGAGACGCTGAGCCTCAACAAAATCACACCACTTGCCACCAATATAACGAAAAGCGAGATATCTAACACCAAGTATCCCACAGTTGAACCCCGCTGTGAAGGATTATATGCAATATACCACTACTAGACAATAGTATGGTAGCGAGATGATGTTATATAGATACGTGTAATGGTAGAGTGGACACTGCTTTAGTCTTTTTTTGGTTTAATGCTGCCACCAACTCATTTTTAAAATGAGTTTTTGAGGTAAACGTTTCCCTTCTCTACCAACACAGCTCTCCCCTTAGCTCCCAGAATGACTGTTTGGATAAGAGAACTTTCTGTGGTATTAGGATGTTAAAGAGGCTGGAATTATCACAAAGGATTACTGATAGATTGAGGAACGATAGAGACCTTTTTGAAAGTTAAATAGAAAAAGATTTATTTATAAAAACAGACAACTAACTTGTCTGTTTTTATAAATAAATTTATAGCTCTGTATGCAACAAAGTGAAGAAACTTAATTCAAGCAACCATCAAGCTATAGTTCACTTTTGTAACAAGTCAAGTGTTTTGTGCCACTCAGAAGAAGAACTAACTTCTTCTTCTGAGTGGCACAAAACGCTTGACTTGTTACAAAAGTGAACTATAGCTTGATGGTTGCTTGAATTAAGTTTCTTCACTTAGTTGCATACAGAGCTAATCAAACGGATATAGGTGCTGGTTACAAAAAAAAATCCCTCACTCTACTTCAGAGAAATAGCAATGAGTTACTGACTAACCTAACCTAAGTAGTCTCCTGAGTTATCAGCTAACTCTCCCAGAGTTCTCCCAGCTAACTAACTCAGTCTAACTAACTCAGTCTAGCTGCTGGTTACCAAAAATCCCTCACTCTACTTCAGAGAAATAGCAATGAGTTACTGACTAACCTAACCTAGGTAGTCTCCTGAGTTATCAGTTAACTCTCCCAGAGTTCTCCCAGCTATTTATTTATTTATTTATATATTTGGGGTTCTTCTACCCCGCCCTTCTCACCCCGAAGGGGACTCAGGGCGGCTTACAAAGGCAAAGGCACAATTCGATGCCTGCATCATAAAACAATCATACACAAAATTACATCAATTCACAATTAACAACAGTTCATGCATTATAACCATAAAATCAATAAAATCAATAAAACCTATACAAACCCAGTTTCTCCTCTTACATGGTCAGCGTTCGCTCACTCATAGATATAGTTTTACGTTCCACTTCATCACTCCTGTTGGTCTTACTCGCCTGATTATCTGATTTAATTGCCAGAGTGCCCAAAGGCCTGGTCCCATAACCACGTCTTCACCCTCCTCCTAAAGGCGAGGAGGGATGATGATGCCCTGATTTCCCCCGGGAGTGAGTTCCACAGGTGAGGAGCCACCACTGAGAAAGCCCTGCTCCTCGTCCCCACCAGCCTCACTTGTGACAGTGGTGGGGTCGAGAGCAGGGCCTCCCCAGATGATCTCAGACTCTGGGGTGGGACGTAGAGGGAGATACGTTCGGACAGATACACTGGACCGGAACCGTACAGGGTTTTGTAGGTCAAAACCAGCACCTTGAATTGTGCTCGGAACTGAATCGGCAGCCAGTGGAGCTGGCACAGCAGGGGGGTGGTATGCTCCCTGTATGTCGCTCCGGTGAGCAATCTGGCTGCCGCTCGCTGGACTAGTTGAAGTTTCCAAACAGTCTTCAAGGGCAACCACACATAGAGAGCGTTGCAGTAGTCTATTCGGGATGTAACAAGAGCGTGGACCACCATGGCCAGATCAGACTTTCCAAGGTACGGGCGCAACTGGTGCACAAGTTTTAATTGCACAAAAGCTCTCCCGGCCACCACTGAGACCTGGGGTTCAACTAACTCAACTAACTAACTCAGTCTAACTAACTCAGTCTAGCTGCTGGTTACCAAAAATCCCTTACTCTACTTCAGAGAAATAGCAATGAGTTACTGACTAACCTAACCTAGGTAGTCCCCTGAGTTATCAGCTAACTCTCCCAGAGTTCTCCCAGCTAACTAACTCAGTCTAGAGAGCTAATCCCTCGTGCTATCTCTCACAAGAAATCAGGTTGCTGCTTGACCTTTCCTGTCAGCTAATCAGCCCTGCCTGACACAGACACTCTCTCTCTCTGAAAACCGAGTTTCAAAAACGCTTCTTCTCCCACCATCTCCCAATTCTCCTCCACAGAAGCTGAAATATTTTCCCTCCTAAGGCTTGGCTCCTCCCATCTGCTCTAGCCAATCCCAGGAGACCTCAGACTCCCCCCCATCTTCTAGCGATCCTCACTCAAGATGGCTGCTTCCCTGGCATACACTCTCAAAATGGAGGTTTGCCCTACTGTTATCCAGGCTTCTTTCTCGGCCTACTAGGTAAGATTCACGACACAGAGCAATGGGTTAATTTGTGTTATTCCGTTTCATAGCCTGGATTCAGTGGGGTTTCACTTCAATATGATGTTCATAATCTTATATTTCACTCATCCCAAGTCCAACGAGATGGACTTGTCCTTGGAATTCTTACCAATAAGGATGAAGCCCACTGCGATAAAGTACGTCAGCACATAGCCCCGGATCGGTTCATTGTTTTTTCCATAGCCCTTCCCGAAAAAGCCAATGGCAGGGTAGAGTTGGTCCTTGCAAAGGCACTGTGGGGGAGGTGAGGAGAGCAATTCATTACCAAATAAGGGTGTGTGATCAATGAAAAAAAGTTTCAAATCTACTTACTAAAGTGTTTCTAAAATATCATAAGGGGTCCATGTCATAACTATTACGACGTAACAAAATTTTCGTTATTATTTCATTAAGTAATCGCACTAATGGGGAAACTGTTGAGGCCTGTGAAACCTCTGAGGATGAGGACAAGGATTTTCTGGTTGAGCTGTTGTGGCTCAGCCTGGTTCTGAGCTTCCTGAGCTTCCTCGGGATGAGGAGGATGATGGTTTGCAGATTTCTGAACATGTCCCTGTTGTTGAGGCAGACAGTGAAGAAGAGACAGCATTTCTGTTCCCCAGAGAAAGGAATGTTGTTTCAGATCAAGGTCATGATCTAAGTGAATTGAGGAGCGGCTTAAGGAGCTGGACATGTTTAGCCTGAAGAAGAGAAGGCTGAGAGGAGATATGATAGCCATGTATAAATATTAGGGCTGGGCAACCACGGAAAATTTTGTTTCTAAACTCGATTCGTTTTTAGGGGGTTTTTGCGTTTCGATTTTTTAAAGAATTCCGAATTTTTTCTTTAAAAAAGTTCGAAATTTACAATTACGAATCGATTCGTTAATGGCGGACGCGATCGCGCAATACGCTAAAAAAACTTCCAAATGGGACAGGGGGAACTTCTGAAGCTTCCCTCTCCCTCTGTTGTTGACTGTTGGTGTGATAATTATATATTTTTTTCACTGATTAAACAAACAACAACTATAAAACTTGCCCCAGACATGCGGAAATAATAACGAAATGATTTCGAAACGATTTCGAAACAATTACGAAACAATTACGAAACAATTACGAAACGAATTGAAAAATTCGTTTCGATTTTTAGTTGCTCCTGAATGGTTCAATATCGCTTCGTTATAAAAAAAATAACGAATTAATAATGAATTACGAAATTAACGAACGAAACTGCCCAGCCCTAATAAATATGTGAGAGGAAGCCACAGGGAGGAGGGAGCACGCTTGTTTTCTGCTTCCTTGGAGACTAGGACGCGAAACACTGGCTTCAAACTTCAACAGAGGAGATTCCATCTGAACATGAGGAAGAACTTCCTGACTGTGAGAGCCGTTCAGCAGTGGAACTCTCTGTCCCAGAGTTTGGTGAAGGCTCCTTCTTTGGAAGCTTTTAATCAGAGGCTGGATGGCCATCTGTCAGGTGTGATTTGAATGCAATATTCCTTCTTCTTGGCAGGGGGTTGGACTGGATGGCCCATGAGGTCTCTTCCAACTCTATGATTCTATGAAACTCCACAGCTGCTGGTGAGTGAAACTCCACAGCTGCAGGTGGAGGAGTCGGCCGCTCCTTCTGGGAGCTCAGGGCCTCAGTTCCCAGGGTGACCAGTCCCAGGACAATGAGGTATCTGGCCTTGAAGGTGGTGGAGATTTGATTAGATAAGATCGTTTACAATTAAGAGTGCGTCGAAGTGCTAGAATTGCCAACAAACGGGAAACTCGGGGGCAACGTAATGCTTTCATGCTAGGGAAACATATTTAACAATCTGTTTGAAGGCAGTCTTTTGTCAGTGCAACCTTGCTTATACCCTGTCAGCTTCTCTGGAATTGCCTTGGCTTTTGGGGAAAGCTTTGACTCTTTGGGACTATGGTTTTGATCTTGGCTTCTGGGGCCTACATTATGCTGCCTGGGATTTTAGTTTGACTCATGACTGTGGATTATACTTCATGTTATTTGCCTTTGGATCTTGGAAACTTTACCTTTGCATCTAAAACTCTATTTTGGCCATTGAACTATTGCAACTTCATTTTTATGTTTTTGACTTTGCTTTTTCTTCAATAAACTACAAAACCTACAGCCTTGGAGTGTGGTGTTATTTTGAGCAAGGTGAAACTATCCTGAGTTGCGACAAAGCTAAACACAAAGACTTGCTCACCTGAAACACTTTGGGTGCGGAGACCAGGCAAGCCAGAGCAGAGGAGAGGGTGGCCCCAAAAATCCCCGCGGTGATCAATGGTGCGAATCCAGACACCATGCTCATGGCCTAAAATATGGGACAAATAGGAGAACTGGTCAGGAGCACCATTGCAACACATTTTTAAAAAAATACAAAAACTTGCAATGACTTTTAAAAGCCTTCAGTTCTCAAAAGTCTTTTGGAAGAAACAAAATATTTGCCAGTTGAAGGGATGATGAAAAGGAAGGGGACGATTGTAACTTCTCTAAATCAGGCCAAACTGTTGTTGTGTGCCTTCACGTTATTTCCAGTTTCATCCTAAAGCCAACCTATTGTGAGGTTCAAACTCTGTACCTGGTAATGGTTGATGAGCCCATAGCGGCAGCTCTGGCTCTGGGCGCATTCGGTGAAGTTCCAGCCGAGGCCACAAGCGATGCCTTCACAGCCCATCGAATCCATGGCGAGTGTGTCATTCACGTTCCCCGATGCGTCACGGACCACACAAGAACCTTGGAGGGAGGAACCATTTAGGAGTTTTAGCTTTCCAAGGTCTTGAGCCTTCTCTGCTAAAGAGGGCTGGTGCTTAACCAAGCTACAACTCCCAGCATCCCATAGCATTGCGCCATGGCACCTAGAGAAGTGTCAAGCTGCATTCATTCTCCAGTGCAGATGCACCCTTAGAGCTCTCTCATGCATCCATAAGTTGATCTCAACTTTTGAAGGGACAACTAACCGGTGTTTCTTACAGGAAGCGGTCAACCCTCCTGTTTAAGGAGCTCCACTGGCTGCCGTTCATTTTCCGGTCCCAATTCAAGGTGCAGGTTCTTACCTACAAAGCTCTGAACGGTTTGGGACCCACCTACCTGCGTGACCGCACCTCTGTGTACGAACCTACACGATCTCTTTGATCATCTGGAGAGGCCCTGCTCACGCTCCCACCTGTATCACAGTTACGATTGGTGGGGACGACGGAGAGGGCCTTCTCGGTGGTGGCCCCTCGACTTAGGAACTCACTCCACAGGGACATCAGGCATGTCTCAACTCTGCCAGTCTTTAGGAGGAGCCTGAAAACGTGTTTGTTCCAGTGTGCCTTCCCAGAATAAGGAAATACCCTCAGCAATATGTCCCTAAATGCACTTTATCACTGATTTATCACTGATCTGCGCGCCCCATCTCCACCTGAAAACTCAGTCTCAGTTATATCCTACCTTTTCCATGTCCAGCATTATTTTTTTAATTTTAAATTATTACATTTGGCCCAGCCATAGGTTTTAAATACTTGTTGTTATTGTTACTGTCTATTGTTTACTTTTGTTTATGAGATTTATTTTAACTATTGTATTGATTGTTTTCTTATTGCTTTTACTGTTGATGTACTTTGGGCTCGGTCTCATGTAAGCCGCACCGAGTCCCTTGGAGAGATGGTAGCGGGGTATAAATAAAGTATTATTATTATTATTATTATTATTATTATTATTATTATTATTATTATTCTCTGCATCTGTGCACGGAAGCATTTATTGCATTTATGCAGTACCACAGAATCATGGAGTTGGAAGAGACCACGTGGGCCATCTAGTCCAACCCCATTCTGCTATGCAAGAAAAGCACAATCAAAACACCTCTTGGCTCATGTTCAACATCACATGGGGTCTGTAAAGACCTGTTCGGAAATTAAACCCCCTTCACACTCTTCTCCTTCTCTGCTTTTTCTAGGATTTATGTATTTGATTTTCCATCAAATGCTTTCCTCACACTTTACCTCCCATTTTCTTTATTTAAAAAAACCCTTCTGTCTTTGTAATTTTGGGAGTTCAATATGCAGCCCAAAAAACTTATAACAAGTTCTACATCTCTCAAGCAGAGTAATCAAACTATCAAGGCAGAAGCTGAACAACAACCAGTTAGCTTTAAATACAAGCCCTGCATCTCTCAATCATAGTAATCAAACTATCAAGGTTGAACAACAACCAGTTACTTTTAAATATAATTATTTTATCTCTCAAGCAAAGTAGTCAAACTATTAAGGCAGAAACTGAACAACTACCAGTTAATTTAAATCCAATTATTACATCTCTCAAGCAAAGTAGTCAAACTATCCAGGCAGAAACTGAACAACAACCAGTTACTTTTAAATACAATTATTAAATCTCTCAAGCAGAGTAATCAAATTATCAAGGCAGAAACTGAACAACAACCAGTTACTTTTAAATACAATTATTACATCTCTCAAGCAAAATAGTCAAACTATCAAGGCAGAAACTGAACAACAACCAGTTACTGTTAAATACAATTATGACATCTCTCAAGCAAAGTAGTCAAACTATCAAGGCAGAAACTGAACAACAACCAGTTACTTTTAAATACAATTATTACATCTCTCAAGCAGAGTAGTCAAACTATCAAGGCAGAAACTGAACAACATCAGTTACTTTTAAATACAATTATTACATCTCTCAAGCAGAGTAATCAAATTATCAAGGCAGAAACTGAACAACTACCAGTTACTTTTAAATACAATTATTACATCTCTCAAGCAGAGTAGTCAAACTATCAAGGCAGAAACTGAACAACAACCAGTTACTTTTAAATACAGTTATTACATCTCTCAAGCAGAGTAGTCAAACTATCAAGGCAGAAACTGAACAACATCAGTTACTTTTAAATACAATTATTGCATCTCTCGAGCAGAGTAGTCTAAAGAGCCTAATGTCGCAACTCAGGTGAATCTATCCTGAGTTGCAACATTAGGCTCTTTAAAGAGTTCCTGCACATTTTGGAGACCGTCCTTCTTTCCTTCCTTTTGCCTCAGTGTTCACATTGCTGAGAAAGATGAGTATTGTAGTCCAGTGCACTAGATTAGGGAAAACTACTCTTACAACACAATCTTTTGCCAATGGAGTTGTAGTTTCATAATGTCTTTAGTCTCCCTCCTGTGCTGTTTCTTACCAATTGTAGCAGAAAGCACCAAATAGGATATGGTTGTCCAGAAAATAGCCATGAGGGTCCCTTTAGGAATTGCCACCGCCGGATCCTAAGCAAAGGAGTGAATGATATTTAGGCAAATGCATTGCTCAGGCATCCTAGCATTGCGTTCACTGGTAACTTATGTCATTATAGATTAACAACTTAGGAGCTTGGAGTACTTGGAGGAAGAAATGGATACGATGAGTTTAGGCATATCATGAGTTGGTGGGCTTTTGCCATCAGACTTGGTTTAAGGCATCTTCCTATGTTCCTACACAAGACCTTCAATGAATATACTATTCCATAATATCACTTAATATAATATTGGGTCCAGATACCAATACCTACCTTCAAGTCGCCCGAAATGTTGGCTCCTGCCAAGATGCCGGTGGCCGATGGGAAAAAGATGGAAAACAAGCCAAAGAAGCTGCCGTCAGGTCCACGCCAGTTGGGGACAAAGTTCTGGGCAAAAATATCCCCTGAGAAATAAGAATGTAAAGCATGCATGAGTGTGCATGAAGCCTGACTGGACTTCCAATGATAATTTTAGACACTATGCTCCTATTGATTCAGCCTAGAATCACATTTGCCTTTTTAGCTGCCGCATTGCACTCTTGGCTCATGTTCAGTCTGTGATCCACCAAGATTCCTATATTCACACTGCTCCATGTTTTAGTTTACAGAAATGTATTTAAAGCTAACTAGTTGTTGTTCAGCTTCTGCCTTGCTATTTTGATTAGTCTGCTTGAGTGATTTAGGAATTGTATTTAAAGCTAGCTGGCTGTTGTTCAGCTCATTTATTATTTATTTATTTCGGGCATTTCTACCCTGCCCTTCTCACCCCCTAGGGGGGACTCAAGGCGGCTTACATCTGGCACAATTCGATGCCCACAATTACAATAAAATGCAATAACAATAACACAATAGATTAAAAACAGACAATTAATACAGTACAATATAACACAATACAATATCAACTAAAACCGCTCTAAAGCCTGCGTTCATCGTGTTCTAAAATCCGTCAATCCGTTTAGCATTTCCGTAGTCCTTTCCAACTCTAGTCATCATTACCATGTTATCCTGCCAGACTACCCAAATGCCTGGTCCCATATCCATGTCTTCAGCCTTCTCCTGAAGGAGAGGAGGGATGTTGACAACCTAATTTCCCCGGGGAGTGAATTCCATAGGCGAGGGGCCACCACTGAGAAGGCCCTGTCTCTCCTCCCCACCAGCCTCACTTGTGATAAAGGTGGGGCCGAGAGCAGGGCCTCCCCAGATGATCTCAAACTCTGAGGTGGGACATAGAAGGAGATACGTTCGGACAAGTACACTGGGCCGGAGCCGTAGAGGGTTTTAAAGGTCAAAACCAGCACTTTGAATTGTGCTCGGAACTGGATTGGCAGCCAGTGGAGCTGATGTAGCAGAGGAGTGGTGTGCTCCCTGTATGACGCTCCGGTGATTAATCTGGCTGCCGCCCGTTGGACTAGTTGAAGTTTCCGAACAGTCTTCAAAGGCAACCCCACGTAGAGTGCGTTGCAGTAATCTATTCGGGATGTAACAAGGGCGTGGACCACTGTGGTCAGATCCAACTTCCCAAGGTACGGGCGCAGCTGGCTGTTGGGAATCAAGAGCTGTTAGGCTCAAAAATAACCCTCTCTGGGGGTGATTCCACCAAAATATAGCAGAGTGCAGGATGCACAGTAAATAAGCAGCAGAAACTTACATGTAGTGAGCAAGTTATGACTTCCATTCAGCAGGATGGAACAGGATTGCAGATCCACAACTCATAGGATCAAAATAATATGTTTATTAAAGATAAAAGAAATCCATTCTGGATAGGAAAGGTTCTTGGAGCTAACTAGCTTCACTGAGCTATCATCTAAGGTAAAAGAAAAAATAATAAAGGTAACTATTTCTACTACATCCTTGCTGGACAAAAGCAAGATGCTTCCTCACTCTATGGAGGACAAAAAGGAAGTGAGCCTGAAAATGGAGACAGACCACATGGCCCAGCCTAGGGCAATAAAGATACCTTTACAAGAGGAAGTTACGTTTTCCCTATAGGATTACATTCCTAGGTATTCAAATGGGGAGGAGATAGTACCATGCAAAGGGCAATTCCCCTTCTTAACCCCTTCTTAACCAACTTAACTACAGGAAATAGGGAGGAATCCCTAAGTTTATCTAGTCTATCTACTCATTGAGGGCTGGAGACTTGTGCAGTCAGGGATGAAACCCAACAATCCCCTTCTTTTCATCTAGGACTGCTCAAGTCTATCAGGTTCAGCATCTTCTTCAGCTTGTCATGAGCTTGTCTGGGTAACGGCTTCGTCAGGATGTCTGCAATCATATCTTCTGATTTGCAATATTCCAGTCTCATAAATCCTTCTTCATATGCATTCTTCACAATATGATATTTTGTATCCACATGTTTGAGTAGAGGGCTGATTTTCTCTGTCTGGGAATACTTTAGACAACCTTGATTGTCTTCAAAGACTTCTATTGGTGTTGGTTCACTAATTCCAAAATCAAGTAGTACCATGTGAAGCCACTTCAGTTGCTTGCACGCTTCCGCTGCTGATACATATTCTGCTTCAGTTGATGATGATGCAACAATCTTTTGTTTTTGTGTTGTCCAGTCTATCAGTGCATCTCCATAGAAAAACAGGTAACCACTTGTTGATTTTCTATCTGTAATATCATTAGCCCAATCCGAGTCCACATATCCTTTAAGTATGAGGTTACTGGTAGCTTGTAGTCTCAACTTGAGGTTCAATGTCCCCTTCAGGTATCTTGCAACTCTTTTAATTGCAATCAAATCATGTTTGGTTGGTTGACTGGTCTTCCTGCACAGTATTCCAACCGCTGCTGAAATGTCAGGTCTTGTAATCCTGCTGATGTACAGTAGCTTTCCAATAGCCTCTCTATATAAGCTATTGTCTGGTAACAGTTCACTTTCTGAAGAGTTTTTCCAGTAATTCACTTCCATGGGTGTACTTACTGGATTTGCATCTGAGAGTCCAAGATGTTTCAATAAGTCCAGTATCTTCTGTCTTTGATTTAGCAAAAAACTTCCATCTTCTTCTCTTTCAATTTGTATCCCTAAGTAATGGGATATGTTTCCAAGTTGTTTCACTTTCACAGTACAGTTAAGATGTTGGACAACTTCATCAAAGTCGCATTTCTTTTCAAAACAAAAAATGATGTCATCCACATAAGTTAGAACATATGTCCATCTATTGTTCTTGAATCTAGAATAGAGACAAGGGTCAGCATTGCCTTGAGCAAAACCTTGCTCAATCAACATTTGATTCAGTTTTTCATTCCAGCATTTTGCCGCCTGCTTTAAACCATAGATTGATTTCTTTAATTTGCATACATAGCCTTTGTGTGCTTTGTCCTCAAAGCCTGGTGGTTGTTGCATAAAAATGTCTTCCTTCAAGTCACCGTGAAGAAAGGCTGTTGACACGTCCAAGTGTTGGACATCCATGTTTCTTGAAGCTGCTATAGTAAGCAAAAGTCTTAGAGTTGCATGTTTCACAACAGGTGCAAAGGTTTGGTCATAATCTTCACCAAACTCTTGTGAATAGCCTTTAGCAACAAGTCTGGCTTTGTATCTCTGTATCTCTCCATTCTCATCATGCTTTAACTTGAATACCCATTTGCATCCAACAATATTCTTGTTCTCAGGTGGTGGAACAAGTGTCCATGTTTGATTCTGTTGCAATGATTCCATTTCATCCATTGCTGCATTCATCCATTTCTCCTTTTCATCCTCTGGTAATCTTTGCATTTGATTCCAGGATGATGGTTCTTGCGGTTCCATTTCATTGCTTAGATAAGCAAAACGCAAAGGAGGGACGCCTTTATTTTCTCTTTCAGATCTGCGAAGCAATGTCTCTGTTTGTCCATCGGGTGGTACTGTATTCTCATTTGGTCTGTTGAGGTGCAGTTGTTCTTCTTGGCCACTGGGTGGTGTTGGCTCTTCATCTGACCTCCTGAGATGCAGTTGCTCTGCTTGACCACTGGGTGGTGGCGGCCCTTCAGTTGGCCTCCAAGAATGCAGTTGCTCCGCTTGACCACTGGATGGCGCGGCTCCTTCCCCTTCTTGACCGCATGGTTGGCCTGGGACAAAAGGGCCTGGCTTCTCTTGAGCCTCTGGAAAGTTATTTCCCTCTATCCTTTCATCAAAATACACAACTTTTCCAACAGTCAGTGTTTTGTTTTGGGGATCAAACAAACGGTAGCCTTTGTGCTCAGAACTGTATCCAATCAAAATTAGAGGCTTAGAAGTCTGATCAAACTTGCTACTTCGTTTCACTTCAGGTACATACATATATGCCTTTGAGCCAAAAACTCTCAAATGATTCACAGAAGGCGGATGTCCATTCCACAATTCATATGGAGTCACATTTCTGCTTGCACTTGGAAGTCTATTTTGCAAATAACAAGCAGTGTTAACTGCTTCAGCCCAAAGATAATGCTGTAATTTTGCATCCAACAGCATAGTTCTGGCCATTTCAATTAGGCTTCTATTTTTCCTCTCTGCAACACCATTCTGGTGTGGAAAATATGGCAATGAATGCTGGTGATGAATACCATATTTTCTCAAGACATTATCAATTGCCTCATTGCAAAATTCACTTCCATTGTCAGTCCTGAAAGCCTCAGGAAACTTATCAAATTGATTTTTCACTTTTGCTAGAAAGTCCAACAGTTTGTCATACACTTCACTTTTATTCTTCAAGAAATAAACAGAACAATATCTCGAAAAATCATCGGTAAAGGTAAGGATGTACTTCATGCCCCTTAAAGATGCAGTTTTCATTGGACCACAAACATCACTATGTATGAGCTGCAGGGGGCGCTCCGTCACCATCTCACTGCTTTTGGGAACAATGGGGGCTACTGCCTTCCCCTGAAGGCACATGGCGCATCTCTGTTTGCAGCATTGTTCAACTTCCAAATCTCTACACAAATCCTTTGCCTTCAATGTGTATTTGGCACAAGCATGACCAAATCTTCTATGCCACAGTTGAAAACAATTCTTATTTTGGCATTCTGATATCATAAGTCCAGAAATCTTGGGTGCTAAATTGACTTTGTACAATCCCATATAGTGACTGGCTGTTAGGATCACTTCTCCATCCTTTTCCACAGAACAAAGACTATCTCTGAAATTAAACGTATAACCTTTTTGTTCTAAAACTGCGAGGCTTATGAGATTAGTCTGTAGACGGTTGGAGAATTTAGCACCTTCTAGGTAAATATCATTTTTAGTGTCCAAACAGGTCAATTTTACAGTCCCAATTTCAGTACATATTACTTCATCTTTGCCAATTCCATATACAGAAGATTGGCATTTCTCTAGATGAGTGAAATAAGCTCTATTTGAGAAATAATGATCAGTTGCACCACTGTCAATAAACACATCTTCTTTGTTTACTTTATTTCTGGAAAACTTAAAAAGTACATCTTCATCTAGTTCATTTTTCTGTTCCAACTCACTTGGGTCATTAGGGCTTGGCATAGCTAATTTCGCATTTCCTCTGGAAAAATGCCTCTGTGGAGGGGGGTGATTAGACCCACTAGCACTCCCTTTGTTATTCCAATGACCTCTGCCTGGTGAACTAGGAATCTCTGCCATGTGGTCAGGTTGCCTAGCAACAGGAGTTGCTGGGTTTCTTAAATACTGTTTGTTTTCCTTTGCTTTCCAGCAATTTCGTTGGAGATGTCCTTGTTTTCCACAAAAATGGCATACTTTTGGGCTTGCATTTTGAAACCTTTTGTAGCCTTTTGCAGCCTTAAGGGCCATACCATCTTTGGCTTCAATGATACTTCCATTCTGGTGAATATATTGAGCTTTCAACTCAGAAATTAAGTCATCAAGAGTCATGGGCTTTTCCTTGTCTTGGGTATTTCTCAAAATCAATACAGCTTGTTTATATTTTTCATCAATTTGCAGATGAACAAGAGAAATAATCATCTTATCACTCAAAGTCTCTCCATTCAATCTTAATTGTTCAACCAAGGAACGTATTTCTTCCAGATAATCAAATAAGTCACTTTCTGAATGCATTTTCAATGTAAACAATTTTTGATAATCCAGAATAATTTCAGCTATTGAGCCTTTTCCATACATTTGCTCCAAACGATAAAGCATCTCTTTGGCTGTTTTAGCACTTCTAATACATGCAAATACTTTATCCGATAATGCCAGAGATATTATGGACCTCACCGTTCTGTCTGTATCTTTCCATTCATCCAGTCCCTGAGCTGCTGGATCTGGAGGGTCCTCTTGTAAAACTTTCAGCTGCTTTCTGTTCAAAGCCAGCTCAAGCCTTTCTTTCCAATTCAGGAAATTTCCTCCTCTTGTCTCCAGCTTGGGGAGATTCACAGGAGATTCTTGCCTTCTCTCCATGGTCATCAGCTTCCAGTCAAGGAAAAATTTCCCAAAAATCAAAATCAAAACAAAAATGCTCCAAAAAATCCCTCAGAACCTTTCTCTATTGCTCTTTGCAATGCAATCCTTTAAAAATGCTCAGTGTACACGTTCTGGGCCTCAATAACCCATTGTTGGGAATCAAGAGCTGTTAGGCTCAAAAATAACCCTCTCTGGGGGTGATTCCACCAAAATATAGCAGAGTGCAGGATGCACAGTAAATAAGCAGCAGAAACTTACATGTAGTGAGCAAGTTATGACTTCCATTCAGCAGGATGGAACAGGATTGCAGATCCACAACTCATAGGATCAAAATAATATGTTTATTAAAGATAAAAGAAATCCATTCTAGATAGGAAAGGTTCTTGGAGCTAACTGGCTTCACTGAGCTATCATCTAAGGTATGAGAAAAGGGAAAAATAATAAAAGTAACTATATCTACTACATCCTTGCTGGACAAAAGCAAGATGCTTCCTCACTCTATGGAGGACAAAAAGGAAGTGAGCCTGAAAATGGAGACAGACCACATGGCCCAGCCTAGGGCAATAAAGATACCTTTACAAGAGGAAGTTACGTTTTCCCTATAGGATTACATTCCTAGGTATTCAAATGGGGAGGAGATAGTACCATGCAAAGGGCAATTCCCCTTCTTAACCCCTTCTTAACCAACTTAACTACAGGAAATAGGGAGGAATCCCTAAGTTTATCTAGTCTATCTACTCATTGAGGGCTGGAGACTTGTGCAGTCAGGGATGAAACCCAACATGGCGCACAAGTTTTAATTGTGCAAAAGCTCTCCCGGCCACCACCGAAACCTGGGGTTCCAGGCTCAGCGATGAGTCCAGGATCACTCCCAAGCTGCGAACCTGCGTCTTCAGGGGGAGTGTAACCCCATCTAACACAGGCTGTAACCCTATGCCCTGTTCGGCCTTACGACTGACCAGTAGGACCTCTGTCTTGTCTGGATTCAATTTCAATTTGTTAGCTCTCATCCAGTCCGACACAGCAGCCAAGCACCGGTTCAAGGTCTGGACAGCCTCCTTGGTGACAGGTGAGAAGGAGTGACAGATTTGGACATCATCTGCGTAGAGATAACATCTCATTCCGAAACTCCGGATGATCTCTCCCAGCGGCTTCATGTAGATGTTAAACAACATCGGGGACAGAATTGAACCCTGTGGGACTCCACACAACAACGGTTGTGACGTCGAACAGGAGTCACCCAGTAACATTTTCTGGGACCGACCCTCGAGGAAGGATTGGAGCCATTGCAGAGCAGTGCCCCCAAGTCCCATATCTATGAGGCGTCCCAGAAGGATACAGTGGTCGACGGTATCGAAGGCCGCTGAGAGGTCCAGCAGAACTAACAGGGACACACTCCCCCTGTCCAGCTCCCGGCGAAGATCATCCACCAAGGCGACCAAAGCTGTCTCAGTTCCATGTCCCGGCCTAAAACCAGACTGTGCCGGATCTAGATAATCAAGGCTTCTGCCTTGATAGTTTGATTACTCTGCTTGAGAGATCTAAGAATTGTATTTAAATCTAGCTGGCTGTTGTTCAGCTTCTGCCTTGATCATTTGATTACTGTGATTGAGAGTTAGGAATTCTATTTAAAGCTAGCTGGTTGTTCAGCTTCTGCCTTGATAGTTTGATTATTCTGCTTGAGAGATCTAGAAATTGTATTTAAAGCTAATTGATTGTTGTTCAGCTTCCGCTTTCAAAGTTTGATTACTTCCCTTGAGAGAAGAAATTGAATTTAAAGATAGCTGGTTGTTGTTCAGCTTCTGCCTTCAAAGTTTGAGTACTCTGTATTGTCGAAGGCTTTCATGGCTGGAATCACTGGGTTGTTGTAGGTTTTTTTGGGCTTTATGGCCATGTTCTAGAGGCATTTTCTCCTGACGTTTTGCTTGCATCTATGGCAAGCATCCTCAGAGGTTGTGAGCTCTGATTACTCTGCTTGAGAAATCTAGGGCTCTCTCTCACATTTCTCAACAGACTGGGGCTTAAGCCAGAATCCTATGGACAGTTGGGCCTTCACATTAGCTGGAGTTAGAGGCACCAAACCTCATGAAAATTGGGGGGGGGGAACTACTTTTTAATCAGAGAGAACATCTCACTAGGAATCCTACAGCACATTTTACTATAATTTTCCAATTAATATCTCATCAAGTCTCAAACAATTCAACATAGTCTGCAGCACCAAAACAAAGTTTCTGGAGTAGGACAATGACTTTCGAAGTAAGGACTGCACAGTTAAACAGGAAATAACATTTTCAAACCAGGAACAGGACGTGGAGATCCCCAACCAACAGTCCCAGTTTACCTCTATAACTGAAGAACCCTTTGGCTTGCTTCTCTTGACTCGCTGGAATGACTGTCCCCACCAGATAGTTTACGAAGGAGATCATGATGACAATGAAGAAGAGAACCTGCGCCTGGAATGCCAAAGAACACCAGAATAAGATGCAGTCCAAATACCTTAATAACCACCTTCCCCCAAAAGCAACCCCTTTTGGTGGATTACACTTCCCATCTGTAGCGAAATTGCTACTCTATGTTAAAGTTTTGGTGTATAGCTCTATGTTTACATATGGAAGATAGGGGAGAATGGGCACAGACAGGGTAGCAACAGCAGAGATAGGATTCATTTGCATATGTGAAGCCGATTGGTCATATGCAGATTAGTGTAGGCCCAGAATTTGAAAAGGCTGCTAGGCCAAAATGACAGTTGGGGAGAGCAGAGCTGAACATTTCAAAGGGGCGGAGCCAAGGTTCTGAAAGAGACAGAGTGAGGGAGTTTGAAAATGACAGTTAGGAATCTGTGTGTGAAGAGGAGAGTTGGTTTTTGAGTACCTGATAGAAATAAGCAGTTATGGAGATGTGTTAAAGACTTCTGATATAGAGAAGCAGTTAGTTAAATAGAGCTTGAGTTTTAAGGAACATAAAGAAGGCTTGTGTTGCCTTAGTTCAGAATATAATTCAGCCAAGAGTGTGTAAAGCAAGTAACATGGTTGTGAATGTGAAACATTGATAGTTTATTCAGAAAAGTTAACCAAGTAAATGATACTGACTGTAAGCCTAAAGATTGCAACAAAACACAAATGTAACCACAAGCGTTGGAGCCAGAAGTTATAAATAAACTGTGTTTCTTTGTTATACACAAGAGTGTTTCATTGCCTGTGATATAAAGTACAAAGGTTCAACAGCATACAGAAAATCCCAGCCAATATAAAAGAAGAAACTGAACTAACATAAGGCAGCAAAGTGGTGTTTTTTCAAAAGAGGAAATAGTCTCTCTCCCTCGCCACATCATTCCAACTAGCAATGGTTAACGACACTTGGAAACTGCCAAGTTGGAGAAGGCTGGCATAGATGGTTAAACTCAGAGTGCAAATTGGTCATTGCTGTTGCCTTTACGTCATTTCATTACGCTGACCCTATCATAGGGTTTTCTGGGGCTGAGAGTGTGTGACTTACCCAGGTTCAACCATTGAGTTTGCAAGGCTGAGAAAGGGATTCAAGCCCAGCATCAATCATGCAAGGCTCATATTACCAACCTCCTCTCTCATATATCAATTCTTATAGCAGTGTTTCGCAACCTTCCTAATGCCGCGACCCCTTAATTCAGGTCCTCATGTTGTGGTGACCCTCAACCATAACATTATTTTAGTTGCTACTTCAGAACTGGAATTCTGCTACTGCTATGAATCGTAATGTAAATATCTGATATGCAGGATGTATTTTCATTCACTAGACCAAATTTGGCACACATTTGGGTTGTTTTTGTTTGTCATTTGAGAGTTGTAATTGCTGGGATTTATAGTTCACCTACATTCAAAGAGCATTCTGCACTCCACCAATGTCAATTCAGTTGGCCTTCGGGTCTTGGTAAGTCAAAAATATATGCAAGGAACTTAATTAAGTTTCCAAATCCCGGTTAAGTTCCCAGAAACGAGACATCCAAAAGTGAAGTCTTACCTTGGCCTCCCACTCCATCCCAGCCAAGGAAACTCCAAGAAGCACCGTCACTGTGATGATCCCGACGATGCGGATGTCGTTCGTGGGATCCACAATGGTTGAGTCGTATTCCTTATGGAAGAAAGCCAGTCTTCATTCTCTTGTAAGTGCCTTCAAGTCTTTAGATGCCCCAAAATGATTTGTGGGAGACCATTTCAGCTAGATTCTTGCCCCCAAACTGACCGAGATCTGCCCAAACTTCAGCCGTTTGATTCCCTGACATTGAAAGGCTAATAGGTAAAGCTTTCCCCGTGTTGGGGTTCAGCCTGATCCTGATCTGTATGAACCGGATTCTCTGATAGTTTTTCCAACTGAGCAAGCTCTCCCTGACCCTGACAGTGTGGAATCTGTTATTGATGCTGAGGTCAGCGGCAATGAAAATGAAACTCAACAGCTGGAGGAAAATGTTTTGGAAGCTAGCCGTGATATCGCTAGCCGTGATATCTCTCCACCTGGGGTTTTAATGAGGACCGAAGAGAACAGATAGTTAGAGACAGAAATGTTTCCCAGTTTCTACGAAGGTCACATCGTTTACAGGAGAGACAGGCCCAGGCTTCAAAATCAAGGGGCGTTTCAAAGAATAGCTTCTTTGGTTTAAGAGGCCTCCTGCCGGGTGCCTCTTTAGATCAAGCAATGTTTGGGACTGTGGCTGTGCCTTGGCAGAATTCCTGTGTTTCATGGCCGGTAATCCCAGAGGCTTAGTTATCAAGTTCATGGTTAGTAAAAGGCTAACAGATTCCTGGTTCTTGTATTGTGGCTTTTGAAATTTTGCTCAAGTTCAGAGATTCTACTGACTGCTGTGTTTTTCTGTGGCTTTTTGACTTTGCATTTACCTTTCTTTTGTAACCAATTTTTCATCAATAAACAAGGATTGCTTTTCCTACAGTCCAGTGTGGTGGATTTAATCTTATGGTATCGTTTCTTGTACTGGGATGCAACACCCCTGACATTAAGTCTGGTTGTGTCCAACTCTGGGTGTTGGTGCTCATCTCCATTTCTAGACCTTTACCTATCCGTTGGATTGATCCCCCCATATCACTCTTTAAAAACCCCATGCCTAGACATACCCTACTCTGTACATGCCCATAGTTTTAACATTTTAATCTACATCTGGCCCTGCCATAATATATATATTTTTTGTGTTATTGCTTATATGTTCAATTGTATTAGTGTTGTGACTCAGCTTGACTCTGAGTCTGAAGCTGAGCTGTTTGGGCCTTCTGAGCCTGATTTCCTGCAGGATGACGAGGAGGCTGATGGGTTACAGATTCCTGTACATGTTTCAGACGGGGCTGATAGTGTGGCTGCTGAAGGAGAAACAACAAGTTGGTTCCCTGGGGAAAGGAATGTTCCTGCAGTTAGAGAGACTGATAGCGAGAGTGAAATCCCACATGGCCAGGTGGAGGATCCGTCCCAGCTGGACCCAGATAAGGGGTTGCCTAGCCTTGCAGATAATGAATTAATGAGCAGACAAGATTGTTTGTAATTAAGGCTTCGGAGAAGCTCTCGCTTGGTCAGCAAGCGAGAAGCCAAAGGGGCCCAAGGTCAACGCAATGCTTTCATGTTCGCAAAGGGTATTTAGTCTTGTAGCTGACAGACAGTTGTTGTCAGTCCAACGTTGCTCTTCCCATGTTAACTTCTGGAGATTTTCCTTGGCTTTTCGCAGCACATTTCTGGCTCCCTGAGTCTGAGATTTGGGTTTTGTTTTCAGTTGAAAACAAGACCCAAATCCCAGACTCAGGAAGCCAGAAGCATGCTGCGAAAAGCCAAGGAAAATCCCCAGAAGTTAACATGGGAAGAGCATAGTTGGACTGACAACAATAGTTGTTTACCATGGACTTTTGTTTGACCATTGCTAAGGGATTATGCTTCATGTTTTACCTTTGGATCTTCGGAACTTTGCCTTTACATTTAACTCTCTGTTTTGCCTATGGAACTATTGCATTTTTATTTATTTCTTTTGATTTTGCTTTTCTCAATAAACTACAGAAACCTACAGCCTTGGTGTGGTGGTGTCTGGAGCAAGGTGAAAACTACTCTGAGTTGCAACAATTATTCTCACTACCTCTCATTATCCTCACTACCTCTGAGGATGCTTGCCATAGATGCAGGCGAAACGTCAGGAGAGAATGCCTCTAGACCATGGCCATATAGCCCGAAAAAACCTACAACAATCCAATTATTTATATTGTTTTATTTGCTTGCTTGTTTGTGGATGTATTGTTGTATTTGTGTTTGATGGGCTTGGCTTCATGTAAGCCACCCCGAGTCCCTTCGGGGAGATGGTGGCGGGATATAAATATATTATTATTATTATTATTATTATTATTATTATTATTATTATTATTCCGAAGAGCCGGCATTGTCCGTAGACACCTCCAAGTTCATGTGGTTGGCATGACTGCATAGAGGGTTGTTACCTTCCCGCAGAAGCAGTACCTATTGACCTACACATACTTGCATGTTTTTGAACTGCAAGGTTGACAGAAGCTGGGGCTAACAGTGGGAGCTCAGCCTGCTCCCTGGATTCAAACTGCCTAACTTTTGGTCAGCAAGTTCAGCAGCTCAGTGGTTTAACCCGCTGCACCACCGGTAAGGCTAATACACTATGTAACAAATTCCGTTCCTGGTTTGAAAGTGTTATTTCCTGTTTAACTGTGCAGACCTTACTTTGAAATGAGTTGTTATGTTTTGGAAACTTTGTTTTTGTGGCTGTCACAATGTTGAATTGGTTGAGACTCATTGAAAAACTATCGCAACATGTCCCTCTCACAAAACAAAGGTTTTGCAGCTTAATCAACTTTTTCCATGTGTTTGTGATAGAACCAATTAGGAAATTAAATGTATAACCCAGGAATGAAAATTGTGTTACATAGTGATGTGAGTCCAATAACTAAACAAACACAAGGTGTTCTTATTCCAGGGATTCTAGGAATTGCTGTCCCCTGCGAGTATCTTTTCTGAGTCCCCCCCCCCCCCAATGGATATTGTTGTTTCTTACGAGCAGTAAATCCCGCACGGTTTCGGCAAAGCCCACGGTGTGCATGGCCACGGCCACGGCATTGGCGAAGGCAAAGATGAGGCCGATGGAGCCACCCAGCTCAGGTCCAAGGCTCCTCGAGATGAGGAAATACGTCCCACCTGCGAGATCGGAGCACCAAAATTGCCTTATGTTAGATAATAATAATAATAATAATAATAATAATAATAATAATAATAATAATTAGGTTCTTGTGGGTTTTTTCGGGCTATAGGGCCATGTTCTAGAGGCATTTCTCCTGACGTTTCGCCTGCATCTATGGCAAGCATCCTCAGAGGTTGTGAGGTCTCTTGGAAATAGGAAAAAGGGTTTCTATATCTGTGGGATGGCTGGGGTGGGGCAAAGAGCTCTTCCTTGCTGGAGCTAGGTGTGAATGTTTCAACTGACCACCTTCATTAGCATTTGAAGGCCTGCCTGAGCCTGGGAAAATCTTTTGTTGACAGGTGTTAAGATGTGCCTGGTTGTTTCCTCTCTTCTGTTTTGCTGTTGTAATTTTAGAGTTTTTTAATACTGGTAGCCAGATTTTGTTCATTTTCATGGTCTCTTCCTTTCTGTTGAAATTGTCAATGAAAATGAACAAAATCTGGCTACCAGTATTAAAAAACTCTAAAATTACAACAGCAAAACAGCAGAGAGGAAACAACCAGGCACATCTTAACACCTCTCAACAAAAGATTTTCCCAGGCTCAGCCAGGCTTTCAAATGCTAATGAAGGTGGTCAGTTGAAACATTCACACCTAGCTCCAGCAGAGAAGAGCTGTTTGCCCCACCCCAGCCATCCCACAGATATATAAACCCATTGTCCTAATTCCAACAGACCTCACTACCTCTGAGGATGCTTGCCATAGATGCAGGCGAAACGTCAGGAGAGAATGTCTCTAGAACATGGCCCTATAGCCCGAAAAATCCCACAAGAACCTAGTGATTCCAGCCATGAAAGCCTTCGACAATACAATAATATAATTCATATATTCCGCTCTATTTCCTCGAAGGGGACTCAGGGTGGATTACAGAACACATATAGGTCTCGGCGGTGGTCAGGGGAGCTTTTGCACAATTGTGCGCCAGCTGCACCCGTACCTTGAGAAGTCTGACTTGGCCATGGTGGTACATGCTCTGGTTACATCCCGTATAGACTACTGCAACGTTCTCTATGTGGGGTTGCCTCTGAAGACTGCCCGGAAGCTACAACTAGTACAACGAGCGGCAGCCAGATTACTAACGGGAGTGGGGTACAAGGAGCATACTACTCCTCTGTTGCGCCAGCTCCACTGGCTGCCAATCAGCTTCCGAGCACAATTCAAAGTGCTGGTGTTGACCTATAAATCCCTAAACGGCTCTGGCCCTATTTCCTTGTCCGAACGGATTCTCCCCTGTGAACCATCAAGGTTGTTAAGCTCTTCTGGAGGGGCCCTGCTCTCGGTCCCACCGCCTTCGCAATCGCGGTTGGTGGGGACGAGGGACAGGGCCTTTTTGGTGGTGGCCCCTCGGCTTTGGAACTCCCTCCCGACGGAGATTAGATCTGCCTCTTCCCTCCTGACGTTTAGAAAGCAGGTAAAAACATGGCTTTGGGATACCGCATTTGCGGAATGATGACTGAGTCAATAACTGCTGACCTTTCTGGTGGATGACGATGAATTTGTGATTCTTTTGGACGAACTGATTTTTGCTGTAATTTGTATGAATTGTATGTATTTTAATGTATTTTATATTGATGACCTATAATGTTTTTCTAATTGTATTGAATTTTATGTTGTTAGCCGGCCTGAGTCCCTCCCCGGAGGTGAGAAGGGGTATAAAAACTCTAAATAAATAATAAATAATAAATAATAAATAAATAAACAAAACAACAGAGAGGAAACAATCTGGGACATCTAATCACCTCTCAACAAAAGATTGCCCCAGGCCATCAAATGCTAGTCGGGGTGGTCAGTTGAAACAGTCACACCTAGCTCCAGCAGACAAAAGTACTTTGTCCAACCCTGGTCATTCCACAGATATATAAACCCTTTTTCCTCGTTCCAACAGACCTCACTACCTCTGAGGATGCTTGCCACAGATGCAGGTGAAATATCAGGAGAGAATGCCCTATAGAACATGGTCATATAGCCTGAAAAAACCTACAACGCCTTGAAATTAGGAGGCAGAATGTGAAACAAAGATAAACTCAGTGGGTTGTCGTAGGTTTTTTTGGGATATATGGCCATGTTCTAGAGGCATTCTCTAGAGGTCTCAATACCTCTGAGGATGCTTGCCATAGATGCAGGAGAAATGTCAGGAGAGAATGCCACTAGAATATGGTCATATAGCCCGAAAAAACCTATGACAACCCAATGATTCCGGCCATGAAAGCCTTCAAAAATAGATAAACTCATTTTTCTCAGAGGGTTAGAGATAAGAAGTGAAAAAGCAGGTGTGTGCGAAATGATGTCATGGGAGAGATTGAGGCCTTTTAGGTGGTTTCTGGGCTCTCAGGCCTTTAGTAGGAACAACATTGTAAAGAGGGGAAAGAACTCTAGTCCTATGTTCCTGGTTTTTTGTATTTCAGCCCGAAAAAACCTACAACAACCCTTAGCAAGATGACCATAGAATTTGTGAGTTTTGCAAGATTGATATGATAGTTTTACATAGCTACATCCAACAAAATCTCCTATGCTATTGCAAGTGGATATATAAGGAGGATGAAAGACTCCATCTTTCTCTCTCCTGTGTGACTCAGTCTGAGTATCTGTCTATTCTGTATGTTACTATCTGATGACTCTGGGGCTAACAAAGTCCCTTCAACTCTGCATCAACACATTGAAAAGTTACTTTCTGGGGTGTTGACTACCACAATTGCCCACCTTGCATGCCAGCAAAGGAATATTAGCAAAACTCTCATATCCACAGGACCGGTGTCTGTCTATCAATATCCAACAAAATAGACGCTTTCAAAGTGCGATTCTACCTGATTTCACCTTGCCGTTGGTGGAGATGGCCGAAATGGACAACCCCGTGATGGTGGTCACCGTCACAGACATCAATATGATGACCCACGTCAACGCTGCGGAGGTATAAACAGTATTATTATTATTATTATTATTATTATTATTATTATTATATTTATGACATTTATATCCCACCCTTCTTACCCCAAAGGGGACTCAGAGCAACTTACAAGTAATATATAATTACTAGAGATGGATAGGTCTGTTCGGAACTCGTAATAAAATCAGAAATTTTAGCTTTCCGAAGGGACTTCCAACTCTTTGTTTGAAGCCAGAATTTTTTTTGGGGGGGGGGGGGGGGATTTGGAAATGACTTCTGAATCGAACTACCAGCACCCCTTAGATCCAAAACGAGTTTTGAACCATTTTTTTTATCAACCAAGCGTAGTAAATATATACATACATACATACATACATACATATATATACATATATATATATATATGCATGCTCTGTGCATAATGAGTACCTTAAAAACAAAAGAAACAATGAACGAAATCACAGCAAATTTGGCAACAAAACATCTCACAACACAAGGAGTGACCATCACTCAAAAAATTATGATTTTGTCTTTTGGGAGTTGTAGTTGCTGGGATTTATAGTTCACCTATAATCAAAGAGCATTCTGAACCCCACCAACGATGGAATTGAACCAAACTTGGCACACAGGACTCCCCTGATCAACAGAAAACACACTTGAAGGGTTTGGTGGGCATTGACCTTGAGTTTTGGAGTTGTAGTTCACCTACATCTAGAGAGAACTGTGGAATCAAACAATGATGGATGTGGACCAAACTTGACACAGATACTCAATGTGAACACTGGTGGAGTTTGGGGGAAATAGACCTTGACATTTGGGAGTTGTAGTTACTGGAATTTATAGTTCAACTCCAATCAAAGAGCATTATGAACTCCACCAGTGATGGAATTGAACCAAACATGGCACACAGAACTCCTATGATCAACAGAAAACACTGGAAGGGTTTGGTGGGCATTGACCTTGAGTTTGGGAGTTGTAGTTCACCTACATCCAGAGAGCACTGTGGACTCAAACAATGATGGATCTGGACCAAACTTGGCATGAATACTCCATATGCCCAAATATTAACACAGATTGAGTTTGGGGGAAATAGACTTTGACATTTGGGAGTTGTAGATACTGGGATTTATAGTTCACCTACAATCAAAGAGCATTCTGAACCCCACCAATGACAGAATTGGGGCAAACTTCCCACACAGAACCCCCATGACCAACAGAAAATACTCAAGGCCATACAGTCCAACTCCCTTCATGAGGGCAAGAAAACGTAATCAAAGCCCTCCTGACAAAGAGCCATCCAGCCACAGATATAGATAGATATGATTCCCATACACACACAGATATAGAATCATAGATTTGAAAGAGACCCCTAAAGAAGGACAATGATATGTTGCATGTTCCAGAGTAGGCAAACCAGACACCCGCCACATCAACACTGACAAAGAAACAGCAAGAAATACTGTTTACCCACAAGCATAAAGAAATTACATATATTAGACACTAATACTTTCTCATTACTTTATTTTCCAGATCAACAGACTGGGCCACAGCAACGCCTGGCAGGGGATGGCTAGTAATATAATATAATATAATATAATATAATATAATATAATATAATATAATATAAATGATAATAATAATGATAATAATAATAATAATAATTTATTTATTTATTTATTTGCTATACTTGTATACCGCTGTTTCTCAGCCTAGCCGGTGACTCAGCGCGGTTTACAACAAAATACAACAATCAACAATATACAGTTTAAAACCATAAAAGCATTATACACAATATCAGTAACAATCCAATACATCTCCTAACTAAAATCGTGATCCAGTTTCGTCGTCCATATTACCGATCCTTAATCATTACATTTATTGCACCGAATTAACCAAATGCCTGTTGGAACATCCAGGTTTTTAATCTTCTTCGGAACACCATCAGCGAGGGGGCTGATCTTACTTCCATGGGAAGGGCGTTCCACAGCCGAGGGCCACCACAGAAAAGGCCCTGTCTCTCGTCCCCGCCAGCCGCACCTGTGAAGCAGGCGGGATAGAGAGTAGGGCCCCCCCAGAAGATCTTAGGGACCTGGTGGGCTGATAGGCCGAGATACGTTCGGATAGGTAGGTTGGGCCAGAACCGTTTAGGGCTTTAAAGGCCAACGCCAGCACTTTGAATTGAGCCCGGTAGCAAATCGGCAGCCAGTGGAGCTGGTGCAGCAGAGGAGTTGTATGCTCCCTGCGCTTCGCTCCTGTTAGTATCATGGCTGCCGAACGTTGGACTAATTGGAGCTTCCGGGCCGTCTTCAAAGGCAACCCCACGTAGAGAGCGTTGCAGTAGTCTAAACGGGATGTAACCAGAGCGTGGACTACCGTGGCCAAGTCAGACTTCCCAAGGTACGGGCGCAGTTGGCGCACGAGTTTTAACTGTGCGAATGCTCCCCTGGTCACCGCCGAAACCTGGAGTTCCAGGCTCAACGATGAGTCCAGGATCACACCCAAACTGCGAACCTGCATCTTCAGGGGGAGTGACCCTGTCCAACACAGGCTGTAACCCTATGCCCTGTTCGGCCTTACGACTGACCAGGAGTACCTCTGTCTTGTCTGGATTCAATTTCAATTTGTTCGCCCTCATCCAGACCGTTACAGCGGCCAAGCACCGGTTCAGGACCTGAACAGCCTCCTTAGTAGCAGGTGGAAAGGAGTGACAGAGTTGGACATCATCCGCGTACAGATGACACCGTACCCCGAAACTCCGGATGATCTCCCCCAGCGGCTTCATGTAGATGTTAAACAACATGGGAGACAATATTGAACCCTGAGGAACCCCACAAGACAAAGGTTATAATAATAATGCCTTTGCACTTTAAGCTCAGCCTGCAGCAGCTGATGACACTTACCTATTCCGGCTTGCGCTGTGATCCAAGGAAGACGAAGGTACAGAATGACGCCCCAGATATTGAGCATGCAACGGATCTAGGATACAGAGCAGCAATAAATATATGGGAAGCATAGAGGCCAATAGAACTCCTCTGTACGTTCCCATTCTGTCCCCATTTGGCATGAACCATCTATACCAGTGTTTCTCAACCTTCCTAATGCTGTGACCCCTTAGTACAGTTCCTCATGTAGTGTTGACCCCCAACCATAACATTATTTTCGTTGCTCCTTCATAACTGTAATTTTGCTACTGTTAGGAATCGTCATGTAAATATCTGATATGCAGGATGTATTTTCATTCACTGGACCACATTTGGCACAAATATCCAATACGCCCACATTTGAATACTGGTAGGGTTGGGAGGAGGATTGATTTAGTCACTTGGGAGTTGTAGTTGCTGTGATTTGTAGTTAACCTCCAATCAAAGAGCATTCTGAACTCCACCAATGATGGAATTGAACCCAACTTGGCACACAGAACTCCCATGACCAAGAAAAAATTACTGGAAGGGTTTGGTGGGCATTGACCTTGAGTTTGGGAGTTGTAGTTCACCTACATCCAAAGAGCACTGTGGTCTCAAAGAATGATGGATCTGGACCAGACTTGGCATTAATGCTCAATATGCCCAAATGAGAACACTGGTGGAGTTTGGGGGAAATAGACCTTGACATTTGGGAGTTGCAGTTGCTGGGATTTTTAGTTCATCTACAATCAAAGAACATTCTGAACTCCACCAATGATGGAATTGAACCAAACTTGGCACACAGAACTCCCATAACCAACAGAAAATACTACAGTGTTCTTGGATGTAGGTGAACTACAACTCCCAAACTCAAGGTCAATGCCCACCATACCCTTCCAATATTTCTGTTGGTCTTGTGAGTTCAGTGTGGCATGTTTGGTTCAATTCTATCGTTGGTGGAGTTCAGAATGCTCTTTGATTGTAGGTGAACTATAAATTCCAGCAACCACAACTCCCAAATGTTAATGTACAACTCCCATTTGGCAAAATGGACCCCCCCAATCCCACTGGTATTCAAATTTGAGTGTATCAGGTACAGTATTTATGCCAAATTTGGTCCAGTGAATGAAAACACAATTAGTTATGAAGTAGCAACAAAAATAATGTGATGGTTGGGGGTCACCACAATATGAGGAACTGTATTAAGGGGTCGTGGCATAAGAAAGGTTGGGAAACACTGCTCTGGAAGCAATAGGATGGACTCACCATCACTCCTTTGACCCATCCAAACCGGACCGGCTCTCCTTCGGGTTTCTTGTCCCCATCAATAGCGGCATCATCATTCCCTCCTTCATTGAAACTATCACTTCGATGGGGTTCGTACCCCGGTGAGTGACGGTGGAACGTTTCTTGCTGGAAAATATAAATGTAATGTCATTCCACAGATATATAAACCCTTTTTCCTAGTTCCAACAGACCTTACTACCTCTGAGGATGCTTGCCATAGATGCAGGCAAAACGTCAGGAGAGAATGCCTCTAGAACATGGCCATATAGCCCGGAAAAACCTACAACAACCCAATGTAATGTTCGTTTGTGCGATTAACGTAATTCAAAAACCAAATGGACGAATTGACACCAAATTTGGACACAACACCCCTAACATACCAACGAGCGACCATCACTCATAAATGCCTCCCAAAAAATAGTGGAAAGGACTTAAAAACACCAAAAAGCTAAATAACGATACAGCGCACGCGCGGACAACAGCTCCGAGCATCCCCTAGACCAGGGGGATGATCCAAATGCACTACTTCCAAGCCACAAGCTTGCTTCTCCTTGGATTTCTTTGAGAGCATCCCAATCCGTATATTTCCTATTCCTGGACCACAATTCCTAGCAATCCTCCAGGTAGATAAGATATATAGATTAGATAGAGATAGATAGTAGGTAGAGCGATCAATCAGGAGGACTGCTGGGTAGAGAATAGGTAGAGAAGGAAGAAAAAAGAGAAAGAAAAAGGGAGGGGAAGGATGGAAAAAGGTAGAGAAGGAAGGAAGAAGGAAACAAAAAGGGAAGGAAGGAAAGAAAGAGAGAGGGAGAGAAGGAAGGAAGGAGATAAAGAAATGGTTCGAAATGGTTCTAAAGTACTTACAACACTAGGGGGCACTGGTGCTTTGCTTCTAAAGTGTTTCTAAAGTTCTGGTGGTGAAAATTTCAGAACTCTAACAAAACTTTCAAAATTTCATTATAAATGGCAGTGCCTAATTGGTTCTGTCATAAAAATCCCCATTAACAAAATAATAAAGAAATTTTCGAAAGGTTTGTTGGAGTTCTGAAATTTTCACTACCAGAACTTTAGAAACACTTTAGAAGCAAAGTACCAGCTTAGAAATACTTGAAAAGCAAAGCACCAGTTTTAGAAACACTTTAGAAACAAAGTGCCAGCTTTAGGAACATTTTAGAGCAAAGCACCAGTGTTAAAAACACTTTAGAAGCAAAGCACCAGCTTTAGAAATACTTGAAAGGCAAAGCACCAGTTTTAGAAACATTTTAGAAGCAAAGTACCAGCTTTAGAAATACTTGAAAAGCAAAGCACCAGTTTTAGAAACACTTTAGAAGCAAAGCACCAGTTTTAGAAATACTTGAAAAGCAAAGCACCAGTTTTAGAAACACTTTAGAAGCAAACAGCCAGCTTTAGAAATACTTGAAAAGCAAAGCACCAGCTTTAGAAACACTTTAGAAGCAAAGCACCAATTTTAGAAACACTTTAGAAGCAAAGCACCAGCTTTAGAAATTCTTTAGAAGCAAAGCACCAGCTTTAGAAACATTTTAGAAGCAAAGTAGCAGCTTTAGAAATACTTGAAAAGCAAAGCACCAGTTTTAGAAACATTTTAGAAGCAAAGCACCAGCTTTAGAAACACTTTAGAAGCAAAGCACCAACTTTCGAAACACTTTAGAAGCAAAGCGTCAGCTTTAGAAATACTTGAAAAGCAAAGCACCAGCTTTAGAAACACTTTAGAAGGAAAGCGTCATCTTTAGAAATACTTGAAAAGCAAAGCACCAGCTTTAGAAACACTTTAGAAGCAATGCGTCAGCTTTAGAAATACTTCAGAAGCAAAGTACCAGCTTTAGAAATACTTGAAGAGCAAAGTGCCAGATTTAGAAACACTTTAGAAGCAAAGCGACAGCTTTAGAAACATTTTAGAAGCAATGTACCAGTTTAAAAAATACTTGAAAAGCAAATAACCAGTTTTAGAAACACTTTAGAAGCAAAGCACCAGCGCCTCCTAGTTTTGTAAGTACTTTAGAACCTTTTAGAACCATGGCTCGCACATGCCTAATATACACTCCATTTGCCTCATCTTCGACAGAACCTCTGAAGATTCCTAGTTTTGTAAGTACTTTAGAACCTTTTAGAACCATGGCTCGCACATGCCTAATATACACTCCATTTGCCTCATCTTCAACAGAACCTCTGAAGATGCTATTAGCCACAGATGGAGGTGAAACATCAGGAGAGAGTGCTGCTGGAACATGGACATACAGCCTGAAATTCTCACAATAACCTATTGTGAAAGCGTTCAACAACCCATTGAAAGTGTGCTTTAGCTTGGACGTACCTTGAGGAAGGAGTGTAGGTCGGCGAGGGTGGGCCGGGGCTTCTTGCATTCCCCGGAGATCTTGGTGTTGGCGTAGTTCTCATAGGTGGGCACGACATCGACGGTGTTGTAGCCAAAGGTCCGCAGGTAGAAGGTGTTGTTGTGGGTGAGGTGGTTGCCTTGGCTGGTGTCGTAGACGGCTGTGTCGCCTTGGACGTAAGGCCCTCGGTTGCTGTCCTCGGTGCCGATCAGGGTGCTGATGGTGAAGCGGCCGTTGGAGCGGGACAGGTCCAGGGTCCGGTCGGTCACCGGCAGTTCGGCCATGGCATCCTATCTTCGGTCCCGGCCGAGGGGAAGCCTGTCTCTACAAAGGGGCCCTCGAATGCGACGTTCGGAAAGGATGGGGGATTTTATACTCCCCGAAACCAGAGCCAGCTCACTCCTAATCTGCTCCGACCATCCAGAGCTGGTTGCGGAAAAGAATAGCCGGGGGAAATATCCAAACACAAGTTGACCAGTTCTAGATCGAGGCCTTGATAAGAGGTTTTGTATTAAGTCCTAAGGATAGAGGAAGGGGTGGGGGTGGGTGCGCTGGGGTGGGGAATGGAGGCCATTTGCACTTTTTGGGTACATTGTGTTTCTTTCAGGTTAGAAATGGAGATGAGCACCACCCCCTAGAGTTGAACACGACTAGAATTACTATCAAGGGGAAACCTTTACCTTTACCTATTTAATTTGTCAGCTTTATGAGACTTGGTTTGACAAGAACCACTCAAAAAATACCTTAGAGTATCCCTTCTCTGGATTCCCCTATTTATTAGGCCTGTTTGATCAAGAAAAAATTTGTTTCTAAAATCGATTTGTAATTGGGGTGTTTTTTTGTTTCGATATTTAAAATAATTACAAAACTTTCCAAAAAAGTTTTGGTATTTAAGAAATTTTGTAAATATTAACGAATTTTTAGAATATTTTTGTATTTCTTAAGAATAATATTAAAATAATATTAAAAAATATTTTAAAATGGAAAATTAACCAAAAAATGGACCAAACACAGGCAGGAGACAGCAAATGAGAGCACACACCAACAGAAGAGTCTTTTCTTTTTTAGAATATTTTTTAAGAATAATATTAAAATAATATTAAAAAATATTAAAAAATAATTAAAAAATAATATTAAAAAATAATATTAAAAATATTTTAAAATGGACAATTAACCAAAAAATGGCCCAAATGTGGACCAAACACAGGCAAGAGACAGCAAATGAAGCAAGCAGCACTCACAGCAGCAAGGAATGAATCCAATCCCAGTTGCTAGCAGGCAGCCATTGCCAAGCCAACCCAATGCAAACTCCCTTGCCCTCTGCAGCAAGGGCCGCGCGGAGCCGCTTTGAAAGGGCTCGCCGGCCAATCAAAAACAGGCAGCCACGGACCCATGGTGGTGCACTGCTTGGGAGCGCCGGATTGGCTCCCATGCACCAGCACTCCAGCAGCCTCCACCCCATTAACGAAACGAGCGGAGGCTCGTTAAAACTATGGGGGCTGCTGGTTCGATATTTATAAACCCTTCCGGGTTTGGAAATATGTTTCGATATCGCTTCGGAAATGGTAAAATTAACGAATTATTAACGAATTAACGAATTAACGAACGAAACCGCACAGGCCTACTTTATTTATTTCGCGCATTTCTACCCCGCCCTTCTCAACCCCCGAGGGGGGACTCAGGGCGACTTACAAAAGGCACAATTCGATGCCAGCATAAACATAACAATGGATAAAACATATAAACAGCAATTATAACAATTAAGACAGTCAGCCCATACATTAAAATCAATAAAAACAATCTAATGCTCAGCGTTCGCCATCTCATAATCCATAAATTCATTCCACTTGTCAAGTACTCTCGATTCTGGTCATCATTGTCCTTGTCCGGGATTGTGGCGCAGCTGGCTGAGTGTCAGCTGCATTAAGATCACTCTGACCAAAAGGTCATGAGTTCGAAGCCAGCCCGGGCTAGAGTGGGTGTCCAGCCATTGTGTAGCCCGTTGTAGACCTTTGCAACCCGAAAGACAGTTGCATCTGTCAAGTAGGAAAATAAGGGACCACCTTGTGTGGGAGGCTAAATTTAACTAATTTATGAGGCCATTAAGAAAGAAGACTCCGGGGAATGTGGAATGTGGAAGAACTTCATCGGTGTCGTTGATGGATGATGAAAAGCAGCAGCTCCCCTGGCGGCCAGAAAAAAAAGTTAAATAGCCTCTGTCTGCTAAATGTTGTTTGTCAAACTGGCATTGAATGTTTGCCATATATGTGTTTACTGTAATCCGCCCTGAGTCCCCTGCGGGGTGAGAAGGGCGGAATATAAGAACTGTAAATAAATAAATAAATAAATTATCTAACCGCCAGATTGCCCGAAAGCCTGGTCCCATATCCATGTTTTTAATTTCCTTCTGAAAGAGAGGAGGGATGTCGATGACCTAATTTCCCTGGGGAGTGAATTCCACAGGTGAGGGGTCACCCCCGAGAAGGCCCTGCTCCTCGTCCCCACCAATCTCACTTGTGATAGAGGCGGGGTCGAGAGCAGGGCCTCCTCAGTGGATCTCAAACTCCAAGGTGGGACGTAGAGGGAGATGCATTCGGACAGATACGCTGGGCCGGAGCCGTATAGGGTTTTGTAGGTCAAAACCAGCACTTTGAATTGTGCTCGGAACTGGATCAGCAGCCAGTGGAGCTGACATAACAGGGGGTAGTATGCTCCCTGTATGACGCTCCGGTGAGTAATCTGGCTGCCGCCCGCTGGACTAATTGAAGTTTCCGAACAGTCTTCAAAGGCAATCCCACGTAGAGTGCGTTGCAGTAATCTATTCAGGATGTAACGAGAGCATGGACCACTGTGGCCAGATCTGACTTCCCAAGGTATGGGCGCAGCTGGTGCACAAGTTTTAATTGCGCAAAAGCTCTCCCAGCCACCGCTGAGACCTGGGGTTCCAAGCTCAGCGATGAATCCAGGATCACTCCCAAGCTGCGAACCTGCGCCTTCAGGGGGAGTGTAACCCCATCCAACACAGGCTGTAACCCTATGCCCTGTTCGGCCTTACGACTGACCAGTAGGACCTCTGTCTTGTCTGGATTCCGTTTCCCCTAGGCAGGAAGCAGCCAGGCTTTGAAGCTGCAAGGCCATTCAATGCTAATCAAGGTTGCCAATTGCAGCATTCACACTTGCCTCCAGCAGAAAAGAGTTCTTTCTCCCATCCTGGACATCATTCCACAGATATAGAAACCTCACTTATCTAGTTTCCAACAGACCTCACAACCTCTGAAGATGCCTGCCACAGATGTGGGTGAAACATCAGGAGAGAATGCATCTGGAACATGGCCATACAGTCTGGAAAATTCACCGCAACCCAGCGATTCCGGCCATGAAAGCCTTTGACAACAGGTATTCCATACTGAATCCTATTTTAATATTTACTAGCCATCCCCTGCCACGCGTTGCTGTGGCTCAGTCTGATGATCTGGAAAATAAAGTAATGAGAAGGTGTTGGTTTCTAATATATGTAATTTCTCTATCCTTGTGGGTAAACAGTACTTCTTGTTGTTTCTTTGTCAGTGTTGATGTGGAGATTGTCTGGTTTGCCTACTCTGGAACATGCAACATATCGTCATCCTTCTTTAGGGGTCCCTTTCAAATCTAGGATACTATATCTCTCTGTGTGTGAATCATATCTATCTATATCTATGGCTGGAGGGCTATTTGTCAGGAGAGCATTGAGTACGTTTTCTTGCCCTGGTGAAGGAAGTTGGACTGGATGGCCTTAAGTATTTTCTGTTGGTCATGGGGGTCTCTGTGTGGGAAGTTTGCCCCAATTCTATCATTCATGGGGTTCAGAATGCTCCTTGATTGTAGGGGAACTATAAATCCCAGTAACTACAACTCCCAAATGTCAAGCTGTATTTTCCCCAAACTCCATCTGTGTTCATATTTGGGCATATGGAATATTCATGCCAAGTTTGGTCCAGATCCATCATTGTTTGAGTCCACAGTGCTCTCTGGATATAGGTGAACTACAACTCCCAAACTCAAGGTCAATGCCCACCAAACCCTTCTAGTGTTTTCTGTTGGTCATGGAAGTCCTATCTGCCAAGATTGATTCAATTCCATCACTGGTGGAGTTCAAAATGTTCTTTGATTGTAGGTGAACTATAAATCCCAGCAACTACAACTCCCAAATGACAAACTCAATTTTTTTGAGTAAAGGACATACATTGGGTTGTTAGGTGTCTTGTGTCCAAATTTGGTGTCAATTCATCCAGTGGTTTTTGAGTTCTGTTAATCCCACAAATGAACAATACATTTTTATTTATATAGACTAGCTGTACCCGCCACGTGTTGCTGTGGCCAACCTTCCCTCTTCTTTCCCTCCTTCCTTCCTCTTTCCTTCCTTTCTTCTTGTCTTTCCTTCTCTTCTTCCTTCCTTCTCTATCTCTTTCCTTCCTTCCCCCTTTTTCTTTCTCTTCTGCTGTGTCTTTTCTTCCTTCTTGCTTTCCTTTTCTCCCTTTCTTTACATCTTCCCCCCTTCCTTCGCTCACACTTTCCTTCCCTCTTTCCCTTTTTCTTTCCTTCTCTCCTTCCTTCTCTAACTTTCCTTCCCTCCCCCTTTTTCTTTCCCTCCCTCTTTCTCTTTCCTTCTTTCCTTCTCTCTTTGCTTCGATGCTTCCTTTTCCCTTTCTTTCTTTTTTTCTTTCCCTCCCTCCCTCTTTCTTTTCTTTTCTTTTTTCTTTTCTTTTCTTTTCTTTTCTTTTCTTTTCTTTCTTTCTTTCTTTCTTTCTTTCTTTCTTTCTTTCTTTCTTTCTTTCTTTTCTCCCCTTCCCTCCCTCATTCTTCCCTTTTTTTGTATTGTCATTTACTTTTTCGTCATTTAGCTTTTGGGGGCTTTTAAAGTCCCTTCTGCTGTGTTTTTTAGTGTTTTTAGGAGTGAAGGGTTGTTAGGTGTCTTGTGTCCAAATTTGGGTTCAATTCCCCCAGTGGTTTTTGCGTTCTGATAATCCCAAAAATGAACATTACATTTTTATTTATATAGATACTAGCCATCCCCTGCCATGCATTGCTGTGGCCCGCATGGGGGAGGGGTTCTGTGTGGGAGGTTTGGCCCAATTCTATCATTGGTGGGGTTCAGAATTCTCTGTGATCGTAGGTGAAGTATACATCCCAGCAACTACAACTCCCAAATGTCAAGATTCTATTTTCCCCGAACTCCACCAGTGTTCACATTTGGGCATATTGAGTATTCGTGTAGAGTTTGGTCCAGATCCATCATTGTTTGAGT